GACTTTACTTTCCTGGAAATCTTACTTGGTAGAATTCCACACTTATTGTCCAGACTGTTATATGATCCTCCTTAGCTGCAAGGAAGCTTGGGAAATTGATATTTATTCTTTTTAAGTTGGGCAAAAAAGTTCTTGAAAAACAAATCAAGATCCTGTTAAGGAAGACAAGCCCCTGAGTTTGAGGTCGGCGGGTGGCAGTGTCTTCCGCAGAGAGCAGTGCTGTCATGGCGCCCAGCAAGTATTGGCTGAGAAATGGCTCAGTGCCATGAGCAGTGCACAGGCAGTCACATCTACATATGTCTCCACAAAGATGTACGAGTGTCCTCATATCATGCACAACACATAACTGAATGCGCAATGACCTTTGGGAGAATATGCCTGAATAAAAATGCACTTTCATTTTTCTCAATAGCCAGATGATTTTTCTCGTACCCCAACTCCTCTTTTGGATGCAACCCTGGATGAAGAAGGGATGTCAGCAGTTCCCTCCAGAAATGGTCAACTGGTGAATAGAGCAAGGGGAATTGAGATTAAAGAAGTTGGAAAAAGAAATTATTTGAAGACAGTCAGGAAAACTTGGAAAAAAATGCCTAGTTACCTTGTAACAGTGAAGAAAAAGGAGACTGCTAACCTCAGGAATGAATAATTAAATAGTTACATTCACAGATAACCACATGGCCTCCCTGGACCCACAATAACAAAAACAACCACAGCTGTAGCTACAGCCCCAGCCAGAAATCAAAATGCGGGGAAGGTTGTCAGTTAAACTTTTGTTCTCTTTGCTGAGCACGTAATGGAAAACCTTTCGTTACTATCCATGTAGCTTTCAATATTAATTTAATTCTCACCAAGGGAAATATTTTGACATTTCACTTATTTTCTAAATGTAAATATCTTGTGGGGAGAAGTGCCACAGCATCTTCGATTTGTAGCAGTAAGTGGGGGAAAGTGTACTGTCTAGCCCAGGAGGTAAACACATTGCATCAGAGTCCACCTTGCCGTTTTAGTACAGACTTTCAAAGACTGCTAATCTGAGTGCTTAAGTGCCAATGAAGCTATCTCAGTAGAAGGCTTTATTTGTGTGAGATGAACCCACGCCACGATCTGTACCACTTGGCGTGAGCCTGGGTGTGCCCTGAGCAGGAGGCGTGCAGGGTGCCGTGTGCTGACGTCCGCATGCATCCACGTGCACTCCCGGCAGCAGAACGTTCGCCAAGAGGGCTTTCCTGTTTCCCTTCAGTGTGTTTCCTTCTCTTTAGCTCTCCTTTTCCTTCCTAGTAGAGGAAGAGGGATTCTTTCCTGTTCTAAGAACAATCGCTGTGCCGTCCTGGATCTGATGGAGAAGATGATGATGTTTAGTTTCTATACAGTTTATTTTCATCTTACGTATATTTTACCTGGATCTTAGAATTGTCCTAACACAGGCCAGCCCATGATCCCTTCCAAAATTCTGCTTGAGAGTTTGGATGTGGTCAGTTTGTGTTCTGGCTGCGCCTCTGCTGCCTGAGGGTAGGTCAAGGTCTGGAGGTGGAGTGTGGTCTGCTGGGGCTGTGAGCAATGCTGTTTTGCAGATTCTGTCTCTAATTTTTTTTCTAATTTCATTGTATTCTTTCTAGGAGCGCTAACTCCGCCTGGTCGGAGGTCTTGCGTTTTCTGTTGAGTTGGCCGCAGGTGTCCTCAGGGTTTAGGTTGTTCTCTCAGGCGGGGCGTCCTATGTACCTTGTGTCCAGCCAGGACGCTGGACCTGAGGGCTTCCTTCCTCGCTGCCTGCAGTGTTTCCCTTCACAGCAGCCGCTACATCACCCCGCAGCCGGAGAAGGGGCACGTCAGTGTTTTCAAATGATGGATTTTCATGAGCCTTTTACCCCCTGACCCTACCTGACTCACCTTCTCTTCACCCTGTAGGTGAGGGGGGGATTCCCACCCCTGGGCTAAAGGGATGGCTCAGCACACGACCCCTGACACCAGACAGATAAGATTGGCAGTGATTTATTAGTCACGTATTCTCGTGGCCTGGGAGGGAGGACACCACACATCCCACAGAGCCACATCTGGGATGCACTTGGAAACACAGTGAGCAACCAGGGACTGTGGGAGGTAGGCTTTGTAGTATCAAGAGGGTGAGGGGCCAGCCCGGTGGCGCAGCGGTTAAGTTCATTAAGTTCGCACGTTCCGCTTCTCGGCGGCGCGGGGTTCGCCAGTTTGGGTCCCGGGTGCGGACGTGGCACTGCTTGGCACACCATGCTGTGGTACGCATCCCACATATAAAGTAGAGGAAGATGGGCATGGATGTTAGCTCAGGGCCAGGCTTCCTCAGCAAAAAGAGGACGACTGGCAGCAGTTAGCTCAGGGCGAATCTTCCTCAAAAAAGAAAAAAGAGGGTGAGGTGCCCCTTGGTTGCCATGGGAGGATGTGATCGGCTTGTTTAAATAATTCCACAGGCTGGCAGGGAACCCACTACTCAGGGATAAGCGAGGACTGTCTGGTCCCGTAGATGAGGAGCATTGTCTGGCTTTGGGACCTTCACTGAGGGAGCAGAGTGGGAGAGGAACTTGTGGGGAGAGTGCTTATGGCTCTCCCCATTTTACCAGATCTCAGGGCAGCACGATAGTGCGCCTTGTTTTAGGCCTTCTGCCACACTGAGACTCCTGCCCCTCGCCATGGCCTCTCCTGATTGGTCTAGGCGTCTTTTGTTTCTTTTCTCTTTTATCACGATCCCTTTTATTTCAATTGTTTGAAAGTCTTATCACCTTTTAAAGGTTAATCAAGGGGCAGGTGTGGTCCCAAACAGGAGAAGAAACCTCTTACTGAGTTGGAGGAGAACATGTAAGTTTCACTCCAGCCACACCCTCAACTGCTCCACAGTTCGTAGAATGAGAGAGCAAGGACTGTTCTCTCACAGGAGGCAGAGGAGGGCCAGCAGAATAGAATGACTGCGGAGAATAGTAAAAGCATTAATTTGCATAATCACATATGTTGCGAAACGTTACACCTTCTTAGCAGACCACACCCTTTATCCTTTGAGCAATTCTCGCAACAAATAGCTCTGCATACTACATTTTCATATCCAAAAAGCTTAAATCCTAAATTGGTGAGTGTCAAAATGCTAGGCCCTAAATCACTTTCTTTCAGAAATTTGTAAGTATTAATCTATGTGCTTTTTCATATAGTGTTAATTTTGAGAAGTCCGATGCCTCTCTAAATCTTATTCCTTTATTTATATCCTGCTCTCATTTTTATATCTCTGGGAGCTTTTTAGTTTTATCTTTATTGTTGGAGGCCTGAACTGTCATCAGGATATGAAATCTTTTTTTTATCATGAACAGCACTCAGCTTTTTGTTTCTGAAAAGTGTTCCTTTCCTTTCAGTTCTGAACATCGTCTTCCCATTATTTCTTTATTTCGTTATCTCCACTTAACTCACATATCTCTTAAATTGTCTCGTATTTTCCATGTCTTTTTTCTGTTTGTTCTGCATGCTAGTAGATTTTTTTACATCATTTTGTAGAGCCTGATTCCAATTTTTGTCATGAGTAGTTATAATTTAGCCCATATTGATTTTTCAGTTGAGTGGTCCTACTGTTAATTCCTCATAACCCCTGCTCTTCCACTCATCTCCCCTTTATTGTTAGAGTTAGTCTGGATTTGCTGTTGCAAGAGCCTCTCATTGAGCCATGCTATGGTGGCGTCCCACATACGAAATAGGGGAAGATTAACACAGATGTTAGCTCAGGGCCAGCCTTCCTCTCACACACACACACAAATGCACTTTCTCTAATTCTGAGTGATTGGGATTGGTGTGTGCTCTCAGTCCTCCATCCTAACCTGTTTTCTTGTACTACCTCTTTAGCATTGTTTCCGCTTCAGAATAGATGTGTGTGTTTTGTATTAATATAATATATACACTTGTAGGAAAAGTGCTAGGAAATATGGAAAAGGGAGATGAAAGATAGTTTCTAAGATCACATGTAAAAGTTTATTTCATTAATATCTCGTATGTTTAATTTTGCAAAAAGTTGCTTCAATCATAAAATAGAATTTTGTATCTTATTTTGGGGAATGCCATTGTATCACAAATGCTGCTAAAAGTCTTCGAGCATATGCATGAGGCCTGCAGTGCAGTCCGTCATGATCAGAATAGTCTCCAAATACACTTCCTGCATCGTGAAAATCCAAGCTTTTCCACTGTTCAGTGAATGGGAATGAACTACTTGGTTCAGCCATATATGCTCATGAGATAATCAATCTATTGTATATCCAATGTTATAATTGAAAAAAACTGACTATTCTTGCTATTGATTTATAAATCATTGCAAAATACACTCATAAAGCCTTATTTTAAGTAATGTAGTTTTACCGCTCAACTGCATGACTTAGACAATTTGAGCATTATTTTCCTTACAACATAAGGAGTCTGAGGCTGGTATGACTGGCATGCCTCCCATGGCTCTACTAACTTCATGTTTCCCTCCAGCTTCACTCAGTATACAGGCTAATATTTAATGCTTATAGGCTGTCTGGGCATCAAAGGCATCATGTTCATATTCTAGAAGAAGTGTCGACCGGCTGATTCCATCCACTTTAACAAGAAAACATTAGCCTGTCTGGATGCTCTGCCAAATAGAATTCCGCTTGTGTCTCCTTGGATGTGACCATTACGCGATCACACTTAGTCTTTTTAGTTAGACACACAGCATATTGGAGCAAAATCATAAGTTTATTCATAAGTTAAAGAGGAAAAGAAAAGTGGGTTTTGGCAGGCATTTAGCAGTGTCTGTTTCCGAGATCAATTTCTATTATAGTGCACGCCATTTATGAGGATCAATAATGTAATTATGGACAAATTGGTGGGTCCTATGACCATTTCACAGGTAGTCATTAACTCTGTATGTCTCCACAGGACTGTACATTTATACAGATTCTAAGTAAGGCATAACTGAATCGACAATCATGCTGGGAAAGATATGCCTCCATAAAGATGACTTTCATTTCTCTCGTTAGCCAGGGGATCCCTGTGACAACTGTTCTTCTCAGTTGGATGGCACTCAGGAGGAAAAAGAGCCACCAGGAGTTACCAAAACAAGTGGTTCCTTGGTAAGTTACGGCAGGAGAACTGGGGAAGGGCTGAAAGAAGGAGCCATTTCTTCAAGACAGTCATGCACAGCATCAAAACAGTGCCACATAATTAAGATGGCTGGACAGCCACAGCTGTCAACAGATATATCTGCCTCTCATTGATTTGTAGGAAAACATTTAGCAGTAAATGAACCCAAGTTTAATAGTTAAATCCACAAATAACTGCGCGCTCTATAAAAACAGATACACACCCACAAAACCAATGATTGTAGGCATAACTTTTTGACAGATTTTAGTTCCTTTACATTTTTTCTTTTATTTAAAAAAATTCTCATAAGAGCGTTAGTTCCACGGAGTCACAGGTCTGTGCGTTGGAGCCGTAGGAGTCCTCAGGTTGTCTACAGTTTCCCCAGTGTAGGTGAACCCTGGGCAGCTTGCCTCTGAGCATCCTTTTAACCCTAGGTGTCCAGTGCCCCGCCCCTCCCATCCCCTGCCTTTCCGCAGAGCCACTGTCCCCACTCACCCAGAGGAGGGCAAAGTCTGGCGAGCCTGAGGACAGAGCTCCCAGCAACTTGCTTTATTTGTGGTTAGCCCAGAGCCTTTCTTCACATTGTTTCTGCTTGTACTCCTGTCTGAAGCCATCTTTTTCTCTCCTTTGGTGGAGCTTAGGTTAATCTATTTTCCCTTTTGTTTTTCCATCCTCATAGTCCCTCTCCTAACTTCTTCCCAGATAGAACAAAGCAAAATGGTACATTCCAATAGGTTCTCTCCCTTTTGCTGAGATGCTGTTGGGGAGAGACTTAGTTTGAAGGGGTACATATTGAACCCAGATGTGGTTACTCACACCTTCAGTCATTTTCCCTGGTACTTTGGAGGAGATAGAAGTAGTTATTTCCAAAATTTTCTCCATTTACTTTCTTCCTTGGTGCTGTTGTAATGGAGAGTGAGGTGGATTTTAGAAAAGAACCCACATTGTTCCTGGAATATCTCTGTCTGTCCACCACTTACGTGAATGCTGCTGGGATTCTTTTTTTCAAAACTTTAGTTATGTTTTGTTGACTCTACTAGGTTTTAGGAGAGAGAGGTTTGATCATGTGACTTAACTCTCCCATTTTATCCAAGAATAGAATCCCTGTTGTTTAAAATATATATATAAGGGCCTGGCTCCATGGCGTAGTGGTTAAGTTCATGCCCTCTGCTTTGTTGGCCTGGGTTCACTGGTCCGGATCCCAGGTGTGGACCTACACCACTCATCAGCCATGCTGTGGTGGCAACCCACATACAAAATAGAGGAAGATTGGCACAGATGTTACCTCAGGGCAAATCTTCCTCAGCAAAAAAATATATAAATATATATATTTATATATAAAGTAAACTCATTTTTTTGATATTAAAAATTATCTACAATATGCTCCCTGCTGGTATTTCCAACCCTTAGTTCCCTTAACTTCACACAAATCCTCTATCTTTGAAAACAAATCAACTTTCTCTTTTAAGATCATACCCTGAGTTTTCCAGTGGTAAAATTTTGTTTGGTCTTTTCTCATCTTTTAAAATGGGCTAAAGACTTGAAAAGACACTTCACCAAAGAAGATTATTGATGGCAAATAATCTCATGAAAGCTGCTCAGTATCATTAACGATCATGGAAAGGCAAATAAAGCCATAATGAGATCTCTTCCTACCCTGTAGAATGACTAAAATTAAAAAGACTGACCATATCAACTGGTGCCACGGATGTGGAGCAACTGGAACTCTCATAGAGTGCTGATGGGAATGTAAAATCATCCATCTACTTTGGAAAATAATTTGGTAGCTTCTTAAAAAGTTAAGCATATACCTACCATAGACCCAGCCATTCTACTCATAGATAATATATATTCACACAAAGACTTATCCATAAATGTTTATAGCATAATAGCCCCAAACTGGAAGCAACTCAGTTTTATCTACAGGTAAATGGATGAACAAATTGTGGTATATTCCTACAATGAAATATTGCTCAACAATAAAAAGCAATGAATTTTCGCCATACACAACATAGATGGATCTCAGAATAATTGTGTCATGTAAAAGAAGCCAGACAAAGATTCAATTTATATGATATTATAGGAAATGTAAACTAACCTATAGGGGAGAAAAGAAGATTAGGGATTACTTGGGGACCTGGAGGTGGGCAAGGAGGGATGACAAAGTGACATGAGGACACTTTCAGGGGTGCTGGATTTGTTCATTGTCTTGACTGTGGTGATGGTTTCAAAGATCACTATGTTCGTCAAAACTCATCAGATTGTATACTTTATACTTTTTAAGTATGTGCAGTTAATTGTATGTCACTTATACCACAATAAATCTTTAAAAAAGAGTCCATATAATGTTTTATGATTTTATTAATATTCAATGTGTTTATTTTGCAATAAGCTGCTTACAATAAAGGAATAGTCTATTCGTGTATTACATGTGGTTGACCCTTGACTCTAAATCACTAATGCCACTAAATTCAGGCGTTTACAGAAGGCTTGCAACCCAATGTACAATCATCACAAACCTATTCTACAAATCACATCTTGTGTAGATAAGAGAGGACATTTTCCTTATGTGCGGTCAACATAAATGAATGTCATGTGAGATGTTAGTTTATTCAAGAGACAAAGCAGTTGATCTAGTTTATTTCCAGTGTCTGAAGTGAAAATCAAATAGCTACACTTGCTATTGATTCATAATTCACTGAAAAATACTATCATACCATCTGTTAAAAATTATCAGTTACATCTGTGTTTGCTTCATAGAAAAGAAAATCTAAGGAACCTTGATTTAAACAAGTAGGAGTTTGTTGTCATCACAAAACAAGTAACGAATGGTGGGTAAACGAAGACTGGTGCAGCTGTGATAGAATGCAATGCCAATCTTAGCACGGACTTCTTTCCTTTCGTGCTGCCACCCAGGCATGCAAGTTTAATCCTTATACTTACAGGATGGTTAGCAAACTCCTGATACCGTGTTGATCTTCCTCCTTGTGCCAACCTACTGTCCTTAACAGCACACCTTAGCTTTCCTGGAAAACCTGCACAGTAGAATTTTTCTTCCTATCCACTGACCGAATGTTGCACTCTTTTACGACATTATTTGTTTTTCTTTTCTTATTTTGGTTGCCTGAATCTCATTCCTTTATAAATAATCTTTTTTTGGTTATCTTCTCTGCAACTTTTGTGAATTTTTGAATTTTGAATTTAGTGCTGGAGTTCTGAACTTTCACAAGGATCTGCCCTTTATTTCACTCACCTTTGCCACTGCGTCATTTTCTGGACTTTGTCTTCTGTTGTGTCTTAAATTATTTTTTCTCCCCATTTTCTGTGTCCCCACTCTTCTAGAACATATATAGATGGTGGTTGCTTTGCTTGAACTGAATTTCAATATCCCTCCATTTTCTCTCATATTAGTCTGTTTGCTTTGATTTCTTCAACTTTGTGTCCCAGATTAGTAATCTTTTTCTTGGTCATGATTGCATTGTTTTTTAGCTTATCTCACTCTTTTTGTGAATTTCAGCATTTCCTTATTTCCCAGGAACGTTTTTCTCTCTGATTTACACATTATGTTAGCTGTACGTTCTTGATTCATAGAAGCAATAGCCCCTTAAATCACTCTGAAGATAAGAACTATTTTTAAAGAATCAAATTATTATTTGTTTTTAATGGCGGTTTAATTTAGAAACAATAAAAGTATGTATTTTAGATGTATAATTCAGTTAGTTTTAATGAATGTTTTCAGCCATATAACCATAGTCAGTCAAAATAGAGAACATTTCCATCACCGCGGAAATTTCTCTCCGGCCTTTCCAGTCAGCTGTCCTTGACTCCTGCAGAGCAAGCCTGCTGTGATTTCTCACCGCTGCGGGCGGCTTTGCCTTTCCTATGAGTGGAATTACATATATAATATGCACTTTTGTATCTGTTTTTTTTTTCACTCAATAATAATTTTTAGATTCATCCACTTTTCACCAGTGTTAAAAGTTTGGTCCTTCTATTACTAATGATAATCCACTGCATATATACACTACTATCGGTAAATACATTCACCTTAATGGTGGATATTTGGATTGTTTCCAGTTTTGAGCTATTATGAATAATGCAGCCATGAACATTCATATAGTATAAATGATGTGTATGTTCACTTCTCTTGGGTAAAGATGCAACATAATTCAGATTGTTGGCAAAACACAGCCACCCACAACCCCACACTCATAGCTCTTAAACTCAGCAGGAAATAATAGGTAAATAAAAAATAACTAAATTCTATCTTTAAAAAAAAGTTTCTACAGGCAGAAACAACAACAACAAAACTTGGTTTTTTATGTGTAACCTAAGTGGAGGATATTGTAACTAAAGCTTGGGTGTGTATGAGTGAGCTCATACAGTAAAATGGCAGACTATCACATAAATATTTTTTTCAATATTTTCAGCATCAACTGAGATATAAATGTTTAGTTTTGTCAGTTATGTTGCATTGCAGTTATACGTAAACATCTTGTGTGGAGAATGTAAGCTTTTGTAGTGTGTAGCAATAAGTGATGCAAACAGTGACGTGTCTGCCTGAGTGTGAGTACCATCGGGTCAGGACGTGCACACCTCCCTTTGGGTGGCAGCAAGTGTTCTTGGGCTGTAGGTTTTGTCTCCAGTGCATGGAGAACTTCTGACCAAGACTATGGATCCTGGGTGTTTTTTCCTGTCCAGCTTCCTAGTCCTCCCCCTACACCCTGTCTGTCAGAATGCTGTCACAGCAGGAGGCTGAGATGACCCACCAAAGAGTCCATCCAAGGTAACGCAGGGTGGAAAATGCTCCGGAAGGCAGAAGATATCAGCACACTTGTAGGTGGAAGTGCAGCTTTCTGGGCCCCTGAAGTTCTCTGCTGAGTCATGGTATAGGACTTTATTAGTACAGGAAATTCTGTATATTTCTTCTGTAATTGAGTAGATCGATTTTCCCCAAAGGCCAAAATTGTTGATTGTGTGTTGTGAGTGAGTGGGGTGTGCTTATCTTAAAGGTGCACAGAGGGGGCAAGTAGACTAGTAAACACTCTCTGCAAATGCAAAACCAACGAAGGAGATGAAGAACTCAAATGTATTACTTCTGGGCAAAGCTGATTTCATTTTTCAGTCTCGTGTCTTTTGTTGTGACCTCCTGAGTTCCCTCTCTCTTAGACTCCTACGTTCACACTAGGAGCCCCCACCCACCCACCCACCAAGGCAGTTGGTTCATTTTATTTAGACTGTATGTCTTGGGTTTTTCCTAGGGTTGTATTTCAGAGCTGTCTACATACGTAAGGGGGGTAGGTCTATTTTGTAAGCATTTCTTAATTATTTGCCTGTAGTTTTTCCTAGTCTTTGTACATTCTATGTTATTTGTTTTTCTATTCCCTCCCTAGACATTTCTTTTAAAATTTTCTTTTAAATTCTGCTTTTAGGTAGAGCTTTTCATTTTACCAAACCACTTCCTTTTGCTTGTCATCTAAAGATTTCTACCAGTTGATCTGCTACAGAATTCTTCACTGGTTTCCAATGCTGTTAAAAATCGGTTCCTTTAAAAGATAGAGGTTTTCTGCCATTTTTAGTGATTTGGGCTGGGAGAGGAGGTAGGCAATTATCAGTTCACCATCTTCACTTAAATTTCTTGTACTGGTTCTTGTGTTTTATTCGTTTCTTTTAAAAAAAAGTTCCTTGTTCATTTTATAAAGTAATGCACACTATCTACAGAAAATTTAGAAAATATGCTCAAGCAAGATGAATGACAGTTTTTTAAAAGATAAAACAGTGTATGTTTTCATAACTATCAACTATATTCAATTTTGTAATAAGGTTCCTTCAGTGACGGAAGGAACATTTGTTACTTAAATTTCAGAGAAACCGTTGTACACTAAAGCAAAAACTCTGAGTTCCAGCTTTATAAAGGCAAAAAGCTTGGTGCTATTGCTACTGAATTCTATTCACTGCAAAAGATAGATAGTTTTAGAGTCTGTTAAAAAAATAAGATTAGACGAGTTAAGTTTGTGTTTCGCTGTGTGAAATGGAAAAGTCAGAGTCGTTCTGCTTCACATGGAGAAGCTTAACAGACATGGGCCAAGTCTGACAGGGCTGCCACGTGATGCCCCTTAGCATGGACCCAGCCACGTTTGATCATCTGTCTCTGCCATGCTTTCCTGTGGCCACGATCATCCTGATTCGTCCGAGATGTCTGGATTGCCTAGAATTGCCAGGCGTCGTCTGTGGTGCTATCATGAGTACATATCAGCTGACCTTGTTCTTTTTGGTCAGGAAAGCCTTTGCTTTTCTGGAAGCACTCTTGATAAAATTGCCCTTACACATCCTTGGCCACACTTGTTGTATGATCACTCTTAGCTGCAAAAACCCTGGAAATCAAGTTCTTTGGTTTAACATCGAACTCCCTGAAACAAAACGAAGATATCGTTAAGGAAAATGGAGTGTGTGGCAGGCAATCGAGGCATCTGTGAGAGGACCTGGCATTTAGGTGGCTCACAGTAATGATCCCTGAGGGGCTGGATGCAATGGTCCATGCCCAGGCAGTCATAACTTTGTAGATCACCACGTGTCTCTAACTATGTACACATAGTAGAATACACCAACACGTTAGAAAGTATTTGCCTGAATAAGAATGGTGCTTTCGTTTCTCCATTTAGCCAGATGATGCTTCTCTCAACAGTACTACCCTGTCAGTTGGGTCCCAGGATGAAGAAGGGAGCTTTGCAGTTCCCAGAAGTGGCTCCATGGTAAGTCATCGCATGCCAAGACAACTGCATGTTAGGGCAAAAGTGCAAGTTGAAGGCAAGAATAAGCAATTTCTTCAAAACAGCTAGGAAAAACTTGAACTAAGATTGCAGGGAAACCACAGCTACCAATAGGCCTCCCAACCTTGTAACAATTAGGAAGAAGGAGAGGAGTGAATAGATCTCAGTTTAAAAGAGGACTCCATAAATTGATACCACTGTGGCCAGAGACCAAAGGTTGTTCTCTACGTGTATCAAGTATGAAGGAATTTGTTAACTTGGGTCCCATTGGCTGAGTTCACACAGATGAGCTGGCCTAACTCTGCTATCTTAACCCAGAGTCCTTTTACCAGCAGGATCCATGAACAACCCCTCATCATGATATTGAAGTCTTTCCACTATTGCCTGTATTTCCAGCCTCAGTTCTCACGACTCAGCCGTATGGCTTTCACTTCATCCAAATTCACTACTTGGCCTTGAGTAACAGAACCTGTACTTTTCTTTGTCAGATACTGTCGTCATTCCCTGTCTCACCATCTCTGCTTGGAATCCTCATGGGGTGTGTCTGTGCAGGTGCCCTGGCAGGGAGGGTCGTGATGGACCAGAAGAAGCAAGAGACCCTGTTAGATGAAGCAGTGGTTCTCTGATGGCAACTTGGTGGACAGCACAAGATAGCACTTCAGGCAGACGGAGGGGACATATTCAAATGTCATTTTGGCACAGTAGTTTCTTGTCTGTTGTCAATTTTGAGACAAAGGGTAGTCGACATTCACGTGCATAACACATTCCCAGGATATCCCCATTGTTCAGGGAGATAATGCTATTAGCCCCATGTAAATGAGGTTTTCTCTTGTGTTTTTAGATTTTTGTTTATGGGGTTGTCTTGTTTTGTTTCACTGTGATCATATAAGAAACATAAAGTAATGTGAGTGACTTTTGCCAATGAGTCACTTATCAATAGCACTACAGGTTATGGCACAGATAGGCAAAGGGTTACCCACAATGCCTGACCTACTGGCTATAAGCTCAACTGTTACTTTCTCATTGAAGACCATGCATTGGACTGCAAATGAGTGAGAAAGTCTATCTTTTAGAGATTATCTCCTGTCCAACCAACTTATTGATGAAAACAAGTAAGTCATTCACAAACTCTGGTAAGTACTGGAAGTGAGGAGTCACCTGCAAAGGCCCCTCATGGTTGTGCTGTACCCTATGACCGGGGACTCCTGCTCTAAGGCCTTGCATAGGATCCTTTATTTTCCTTCTCAGCTGGTGGTACCCATGTGCCCAAGATGGGTCCCTAAATTTTAATCTTAACTCTACCTACCCTCTTCCCTCTATATGCTCGTCTCTGAGCTCTGTGGACTTTATCTTGTAAATAGTTCTAGACTATTTCTAGTTCCCTCTTTTCCTACAACTACGTCCTTAAAACAGAAACTCGTTGTCATCTTTCTGTATTGCTGAAGGAGCCCCCTAGGTGACCTCCCTAACTTTAGCTTACGCCCCTCAAACTCATCCTCCCCACAGCTGCAAACACTGATTTAGAATGCAAGTCTTGCTTACTGCCCACAGCAGTTTGCCCATATGTTGTAGTTAAGGTGAAAGCTCCTGACATGGCTGACCCCTTGTCTGCCTCTCTAGCTGATTTACCACCTAGGCATATGGTATAAGCCAATGACAAAGGACTGCGTGTGGTTTCATACACACACCAAGAAGAACTTGAAGCAGGATAGTTACACAATTGAGTTGCCAAAGAAGAGGAGGTTGGGTAGGCCTGTTTTCTAGGCTTTTCCATGGCAGTTCCAGGACCACAATTTTACTTCCAATAGACCAATGCTAGTCATGGTTTTCTATTTCTTCATTCTTTGCTGCCAGCCTCTCCACATCATTAGTTCACTGATTTGTTGATTCAGCACATCTTTACTGAGTATGTATTGTCTACAAACACAATTCTTTAAAGTTTAAGAGTGTAAGAGAAAGAAAATGATCTCATGTGGCAGTTATAGATAGAGCTTCCTGGGGTAAGTTGATCACTCCGATTTTGTTTTTGTTTTCTTTTTATTTTTCTGAAAACCGATTGAATGCTGGTAAACAACAGTTTGAGCAGGATTGAGACTAAGAAAAATCTCATTGGCACCAGTCTCCAACATGACTTACTTTGGATTGTTTGTTCCTCAGAACATCTTGACTTAAAAATGTTAAACAAATTAGTTAGTTGCTAGAGTAGCCGAGAGATGCCAACTGAACCCCTCCTGCACCTGTACTGAAATCATTCTAGACCTTCTTACCATGAGGGAGATACGTTTTAACTTCCCTGCTTCTTGGTTATAAGGAAGCACAGGCATCCCAATTTGGTTCCCTAGTCTCTTCTAGATGGTGGGACTTCCAGGAATCCAGTGAAGCGGTGACAAGGGCTTCAGGAGTCCTGGCCATGGTGCCTGGAAGGGTAAATCTTGCCTGCCGGGGTACATTCTCAGGGCACTTTATGTGGTCCCTAAGACTTCAGAGGCTCCCAGCAACGTGGCTTATTGGAATTTACATTGTAGAATGGTGTAAACTAGATCGTCTAACTTTATGTTTTCCAAAGGGGTAACCTTGGCTTGTCCAATACCGTTTTTTTTTTTTTTTCAATCTTTCATCTTTTCTACACATTTGAAATGCACCTTTATGATAAGTGAAATCTTTATATATACGGAGTCTATCTTAATTACTGTGATGACCCTATCATTTGTGTTTTAGAATCTATTAAAGTTCACCCTCATTGTTCTGCATCAAAATTTCCTTTCCTCTTAGAAATTTTTGCATATATGTAAGGAAACTAAGTATTTTTCTTTTTCACAAAACACAGAAGTATGTTTTATACTTTACTTTCTGAAAATTCTTTTTTACTTCTAAGAATTTTTCATTTGATTTTGTATTTGGTGCAGATATCATCTGAAATACTGAAGATTTATTTACCCAATCTTTAAAATAGTTTTCATCTTTTTTTTTTTTGCATGTCGTATTAGACTGACTGCAATCACTTGTAACATTGCATAGTAATTATGAGGATCTTTGGATAAATTCTTGATTTTCTCATGAATTCTTCTAAGCTTCATCAATAAGTGGAATATTTGTTCTAGGTTTCTGAAGCTTATAGTTGCATTTATCTGGAGTGGAAGTTCAAGTATATCAAATGATTGTTCATCATCTATTAAAATGAATATATCGTTTTTCTTCTTTAAGCAATTACTTTAGGAAATTGCATTGACAGGTTTTTCCCATATTGAACTATAATTTCAATGCTTAGATAACCCCTCCTTATGTTATATTATTCTTTTATTACATTATGGAATATGATTTGCTACTATTTTAGCACTTTTAACTACTATTCTAATAACTGATGTTAGCCTATATATATAATTTCTTTTTGTTGTTACCAGAGTTATGCTAATCTTGACACAAATTTGTTGAGAACTTTGAATCTTCATTGAATCTTTTTCTTAGTTTGGAGCCATTTATTAAACTTTGATGTAAATATATCTTCTATAAAATCTCATATATAAATTTTTATTAGCATTTGTTTATGAATCCTCCAAGTCCTGGCATCATTGTAGGTATAATGCTTTGGTTAATTTTTCAACGGCTATGGTTTAGGGGTTGTATTCCTTTCAATCCAAACCTGTATGAATTTTGGTAATGTGTATTTGTTCTAGCAAAACATCCGTTTCATGTACACTTTCAATATATGTTGTTATGTGTGTGTGTAGACACACACACATATATACAAATATATACACACAGTTATTTAGGTGTGTAATTTTTAGATTTTCTATGAAGGTAGCTATTATTCCTTTTTCATTCCTAAGATGTATGTTTTTTATCTCAATCAGAACTGTAAATACTTGTCTATATCGGCAGTATTTTTTAAGTCACTACCTTTAATTAATTAAGGCTAATTTTTCTATTGTATTAATTTACTTAATCTTTACTAATTTTTTTATTCATTCTGGATAATTTTTTCTAGTCTCTTAGTTTATAAACATATTTCATTTATTTTTAATCTTAAGAATTAATCTCTGAATAATACTTTGGTTATTGTGGATTTTTGGAATTTAATGCTCTCATTGTCTTTAACATTTAGTTTCTCATTTCAGGTGTGATTTAATTTTTAATCCAAGATGTCATTGGAATGCCTTTACATTCACATTTGGATAGATTTTGTAATTGTTATTATATTTTTTATTTCAAAATTGATTTCGCATTTGTCAGTGAATGTGGCTTATTGAAGTTCATCTCTGGGGAATTTGGCACAGTGATCTCAGGTGTAGAAGAAGAAAATGGGGAACGTCATTGTCTGCATTAGCTCCAGCACAGGCAGTTTTAGTTCAGAGAATTAGAACACATAGACTCACGCCATGAGAAAAGACCAAGCGGCCCGTCAGGAAGATCAGGGGCATCTTCTGAGTCAGTGAAGTTCTCCTGGAAGTAACGAACAGGGAAAAATGTTTGGTGTGGTGTTTCTTTAATGTGAAAGAAATATCAAATAGTCAAAGTCCAGTTTTAAGAGAACTCATACAGATAGTGCTAACCTTCTATAGTTTGGAACTTAAAATAATCATCCCCATCCTCCTCTCCAATCTCAGCGCAGTGTGATTTGGGCTGCAGAGCCAGCTCCTTCCTCTTGGAGCCCCAGGGTGAAGCTCTTGTGCTGCGACACACAGGGAAATGGCGGGATCCACCGCAGGTCCTACCAGTGGGAGTGGCATTATGTTTGAAATATATTAAAATCCTTAGTAAAAATGTAAAAATGATGCTAGTGTTAATGTGTTCAATGGGTGAATGGATGTTTTAAAACTATGAATGCCAACACCTAGCCTCTTTACTGAACCGACTTCAAACCCCAAGGTCCATTTATTGGCAGGCTGATCTTCCTTTTTCACTTTTACCGTGTCATTCCTCTGCTTTAACGCATCAATGGTCTTGTTTGTTTTCACCCTTATGAGTCTGAGTCTCAACTCCTCTACCTTGCTTTTGAAACCTTCCGTAATTTGAGCTGACCCTCTTGACTAATGTGTATTTCTCATATTTTTTGAATACCTTGCCTCAACTCCTGGCAAACCAGTCTCTCCATAATCCTTGGGAGCTGAAATGCTTCAGATATTTCCATACCTGAAATTTATACTTCCATTTCTGGCCTGAATGCTTTGGCCCGCCTCCCCTGCCTTCCTAAGTCCTTTTCATCGTTCCTGGAGTTCCAGCGGAGGTTCAACCACCTCTTCAGTGAAACCTTCTGGGCAGCACCTCTTTCCTCTCCATTACTCTCCAATAAACTCTTAGAATTGTAGAAATTAGCTCTTACCCGTGGATTGCTTGTCTTTTAAGAGTGTTCCATAACTGGTACTCTGTTCTCCTCATTATATATAGCTCCAGAGCAGAGATCACAATTTAAACTTCTGCTTCCCGGAAGAAAGTCCTGGAGTAATTTACATTGCAAAGAGCAGGCACTCATTCAGTACGATAGGCTGGCTGGAGGCCAGTTAAACCAATGTAGCAGATGGACACTTCTGCACGTACAGATTAAGAAATTGACATGTAGTAGGTTTAAGCATCCCAAACGATCAGCTTGAAGCCGTACATAAATATCTTTCAATTTTCAGGAGGATTCTCTCCCATAAGTGAGTTATTTCAAAGTTTGATAAAGCATTTATTTGTGGGAAACTTAAGGAAACCACTAAAAAGTAGTCCACATCTTTTTAAGTGTATGCGTAATCTTTATTCTATAGCCTTAGTTTTTAGAGCCACCCAAAATCTGACTGGCAGTGAACGATAGGGCCCTAGACTGATTTTGTCTTTTCATTCTTCCACCGATTACATAATTGGGCATCTATGTTTTAATAATTGGCCGTATAGTCACGTCATTTATACAAGAAGAAGTATGTCATCTCCTTTGAGACAAAATAGGAAGAAAACACGGGCTCAGAATTCGAGACTTCCTTGTGCAATTGATAATGTTACCGCACCAGGTTTGTTTTTGCCTGCTTGCTGGAAAGCCAAACACCAAGACGACGAGACTGCAGCAGAGAGAGTTACACACAGGGCAGCCATGTGAGGAAGCGAAAGCATGAGTCTCAAGTCTGCTTCCCCAAAAATAGGGACTCAGGGATATTTATGGGATGGAGGCAAGGTGGTCTGAAATGTGGAGAGAGGTGATTGGAGGTGAGGAGAGGTGAGGTAAGTGATGATCTGCGCAAGCGTAGTCAGACTCCACGCCTCCTCATAGGACGCGTGTTCACAAAATGGCACATTAGCATGATCTGAGGGTGGAGTTTTTAGCCTCGATGTCAAAAGGTCGCCTATCAGACATCTGCGTGGGCCCGGTTGATGAGCTGGTGGTCTCAACCAGTCCGAAGTGGACAAGGAGTTCTAATTCCTGAAAAACAGCTCACACACCCACTACCGAGGTGACCCAGGCTCCGGGGAGATGTTGTCTATAGGAACCAAGTGGGAGTCAGATAGCATATTACCTACACAGCACAGTTATCGACGGGTGGGTTAAACAGCTGAAACCTATAATCAGTAATTGCAAAAAGGAAAAAACTTCAGTACCTAGATACTTAATCCTCAATGGCTGTTTGCCAGTTTCAATAGCACGTGATAAAGGATGTTCATGAAGCAGGTGTTCAGTGATTGCTAAATAAATATGAGAATAAAAGAAAAAACGTCAAGCTCTGGGGAAAAAAGAACAGACTTTATGTGTGAAGAACATATAAAAGATGAATGATGGAATATCAGGTTTTCACCCTCACACATATTCCCAGATGATAACTCCCACATTAAAATTTATGTTAGAAGAAATGGCATGATTTGTGTGTAAATTTTTCACTAGTACCCATCCAACCTGAAGCAGTAACTTGCTTCACAGGGCTCCACAAAAGTAGATACTCAACTTTTTTTTTTTTTGAGGAAGATTAGCCCTAACCTAACATCCATGCCCATCGTCCTCTGCTTTATATGTAGGAGGCTGTCACAGCATGGCCTGATAAGCGGTGTGTAGGTCCATGCCCAGGATCTGATCTGGTGAACGCGGGCCACCGAAGCAGAGCACACAAACTTAACTGCTGCGCCACCAGGCCAGCCCCCTCAGCTTCTGATAATACTACAGGGGATTGCAGTGCTACGGCAGGATCTCAGTGAAGAAAGTAGGGAACTAATTAAGAGAGGAAACTGAACTAGAAAACATAATTTTTCAGTAGTTATTATCACACTGTATTTTGTAGTGAAGGAATTAATATGTTAACATAATAGTAGCTAACTCTTACATAGTTCTCACTGTCTACCAGATATTGTTCCATGTGACTATACGGGGTAAGTCATTTAAAATTCATAATCATTCTTTGAAATATGCTCTATTATCTTCTTCTTTTGACAGATTAGGAGACTAAGCACTAGAGAGTTCTAGTAATTTGCTTAAAGTTGCACAGTAAGTGGTAGAGGCAGGATTCGAATCCAAGCAGTCTGGCTCCAGCGTTCCTGTGTTAACCATCTAGCTATATCATGACTTCGAGTTCATAACCAAAATGTGGGACCAACCGCATCGAGAATGACAGTTACCGTAACTGTCGAACTATGTCTTGTCAAGCATCGTCATTCTACATATTAGGAAAGGGATGAGCAACAAATATTTAAGAGCCAAGAAGACATGGTTATTTTGAACTTGACTTAGTTCTCTTTTGAGAAACCTGTGTGAGTGTACAGGTCTGAACTGAATGAAGAAACAAAGAAATCAGATGCAGGTCCTTTATGACGTCAAGAATTGCTTTTCAGTGAAATGAATTCTTGTGCCCTGCAGAACATAAATCAGCTTCAAATGTCAGGTGGACTGTATTTATAGTAAAATGTTTTGTGTTCATCTTCCTTTGTTTCATAGTCTATCCTTGAGACTATTCCAGATATACGAGCTCATGCCAATGGTTTGGTGGACCCTGGACAGTCCGTTCAGAATGCACTGAGTGGTGAGTGACACAGCCTCCTAGAACTTAAGCTGGGTTGTCTCGCTTTTGTGCTGGCACTAGATACAGTTAGCAGTGAATTTCTAAAAGCAGAGCGTAAGTGTGTTTTTCTCCACATTTGATTCCATCACTCCAGCACTCACTCTGCCCACTCACCTCCAAACACCCCATTCTGTCACACCAGACACAATTAATTGAGCCAAACTGGAAGCAGAATCTTTTCCTCCTTCACCACTGCCATGTCATTTAGAACCTATTCACTTGTCTTTGATGTGGGGCCTCTTTCACAAGTAATCTGGATCTGCTTAAAAGTTGCAGCAGGCCAGGAAGTAGGCCACTTCCTCGAATCTCTAATCGTGCTCAAGTAGATGCAGAAGCAGATGAGATTGTGACATACAAGGTGACAGGGGTGGCTGTTAACTGGACCTCTTCCACTTGAGAAGTTGGCGCTCTACATGGGCTCAGTATGGCGTCTCGAATCCTCCTTGTAGGAAACAGACCTCTTAAGGCCACACTTTTGTGATTCTTCAAAGTTTCCTCTAAATATGTGCACCCTTCTCATATGCAACAGAACCCCATACTTTCAGCGTTAGCTTCAAAATTCAAATAAGTTGGGGTGATGAAAATGTTCTAAAATTGATTAATGGTTTCACAACTCTGGGAACATGCCAAAAACTGTTGACTTGTACACTTTTAAATAGTGAATTGTAGGCATGTGGATTACATCTTAATAAACCAAAAAAAAAAAAAAAAAGAAAGTCAAAGAGAAAGGATTTGCCAGAAGTTATTCCACATCATTCTATTTGCTGCCACACTGTTATTCAGTTCCAATCATGCCCCTAAAAGACTGAAGTCTACTTGGAGTAGTCTGGTGGTTTGGCATCTGCCTATGTAATCACTACTCTCCAAGAATCTGTCCGTAGCCCCTTCAGAAGTTGGAGGATTATTCAACGATTAACCTTCCTCTGCCTCGAGTGCGAGCCTGTGTGTGAGTGAAAGGCATCGCTCTGCCCTCCTATTCTCTCAGTTCTTGCTGTGTCCACTTACGGTGTTTTTGATTAGCATTACTGTTTGGAATTTTAAATTTGTTGCTTTACAGATTTCTCCATTTACCTTTTAAGGTAAGATTAATTAGGTCTCTATTATGTCTGTCTTTTGTTCCTTTTGTTCTATGTGGTTGTCCTTTAGTCACAGTCTACAGAAGAGGTTAAAGAGATGAAGTTGTTTTCTTTGTAATCAAATAGCTCTTTTCACAACATATGCATAATTTTGCCAGGCAATGAAACAAGATGGCAAGCCAAAATCGTAGTGAGAAGTCACATTTTAGGATTACTCAAATGATGTCACTTGTTTTTTGGTCAAAGAATCTGAATTGCCTTAATTTCAAACTATTTGAGGAAAACATTTATGGGAGACGTCCCTTGTCACCTAGTCAGCTCTTTCCTGATGTCTGTCATCCTAGAGCAGTAACAATACCAACTCACAGGAATTTGCATTTATTTGCTCGAACAAACCTAGCGATGAAGTCCATATTGAATTTGAACAAATCTTAGGAGGCGCAGTTCTGCAGTTTGGGGGAAAAACCAAGAGGAGTGAAAGTCGGCAGGAATCCTAGTGTCGACTCCACCTTTTGTTCCTCTGCTTTAAGCTTCTGCTTCCCAAGGAGCAGCAACAGTGGGTCTAGATGGACTTAATGTTAATATGATAAGAATATATAGAAATATCCCTTTTTTAGACTTTCCTTTAAGAATCCTCAGTGCTGTTCATGAGACATAAAAATCTAAAATTAAAACATCAGTTTAAATAGAAAGTTTGGGTAACGATGGTAGAGATTTGTTCTTAGGCAGTCTGATGATACCACATTATTGTCTAGTTGAAATCATTCTGGGGGGTCTGATGCTTTTCCTTGCACGGAAAAATTCTAATGTGCTTATGGATTAACTGGTAAATATTTTGTACTTATTTTATAGTAAATAGTTTTGACTGATTAAATGGCATATTAAATATTCTATATCCCTTGTTTTTTAGATGATGATTATCTGGAAAAGAGCATTCCACCAGAAGCTGAAGAGCTGTCCTTTGAAGTATCTTATTCAGAAATGGTTACAGAGGCTTCAAAAAGGAATAAATTTAAGAAGTCAGATTTTAAGAAAGAAGACTATGTTTTAACTGTGAGTAAAACCTTTCATGATTATTCTACTGTCTTTCTGTGACTTCTCCATGGGACGAACTAGGATTTAAAAAAAATTTTTTTATGTGTACACAAGGGGATGGGGAGAGGCCAGGCATCAGTGTTGCATAACACTGATGGGGGCAGCATTTCGTGTGCCGTGCACGGTCTGCCTGGCTGTACCTGGCAGCCCTTGGTTGAGGAAGAGTTGAGAGGGTGTATGCTTGAATACTGTCTTATAGATGAAATAGGATTTCCACCTGGCTCGTGTGCTGTCATGCACTTTATATCCTTACTTTACTTGGTGCAGACTCTGTCTAACTCCTTGTGCTCTAGAAGCCACATATGAGAATGGGATACCGCAGAAAGTTACAGGCATAACAAGGAGAAGCGAGAGCTTATAAAACAGACACTAAAAATTCATCAGAAACAAATTTAAGAATTTATAATATTATTATGGGCTGTGCAAGTAGAGCTCCATACTTGATGACCCTGAAGGCCTCATTATATATATCCAGGATGTTGCACCCTGAAAGCCCACTGCAGCGACTCTGTCACATTGACCTCTTTGCTACTCAATAAACGCCTTTGCGAGGCGTTCATGCTGTGGAGCCCTGAGTATTCTGTGCTGATCAGCGCTGGGGGCTTAGACAGTTTCAGAGCTAAAGGAACAAGTCATTGAGAACCAGACAGAGTCTTTGTCCCAGGTGGCCTGGACTGTTCCTGGGCAAACACCCCATGATGGAGCAGAAGAGGAGGCCAGGGCAAGAACCCCGTCACTCGCTGAGTGTCTTCCAGGGGCCTGACGCTGCACTGGGAGTTCTGGTTCTAATCACCCTAGTGATTGCTCGCATTTCACGGCTGAGAAAACTGAGGCCCAAAGAAGCCAAGTAATGTGTCCACAGCCCCATATCCGAAGCTCCTGCCAGCAAGAGGCAGAAACAGGACTAACCTACGTGTGCGTCAGTCTCCAAACCCCTTCTGGGCCCTGAGCAGCGTCTGTGTTGGGGACCACAATGGCATTCTGGGGCAGAAGAGGGAGTGCAGTGGGCCTCTGTCTTCAGGGGGAGTCCCTCTGGATCTGTAGAGAGAGCTGTCCAAGAGCGGATGCTGCCCCCACCCCCAAGGTTTGGCTCAGCAGGGGTGCAGGTCAGACTCCCATGGAGGATTTTGCATAGCGTTTAGCACACGGTAAGTGCTCAATATATGATGGCAGTTTTTGTTTATATTGTTGTTGTTAAGTGTTACTGTTATGTGGGGCCTTGGTCTGAGAAAGAAGATAAAATTAATTGTTTAACAGCACAAGGTATGTCCCAAACCACATCCTACATTTTGCTGTTTTACTTTTAAATACTTGGAGTTCCAAGGAACAATTGTTGAATGAATGAATGAATGAATGAATGAGTGAATTGGTGGATGGTTTAAAAACCCCAAGGAAGCTCTAACTTAGGGGACCCCTCTGGAGAATGTGTACTTACAGCTTTGTAATTTAAATAACTATGGGATTTTTCTACTTTAGCCTTTTTTCAGTACTAGATTTTCTTTCTTTTGTTATCAAGGTAACACTGGTTTATATCATTATGTAAATTTGAGCCGTACATCATTATATTTTGATTTCTGTGTGGACTACATCATGTTCACCACCCAAAGACTAACTACCATCCATCACCATATACATGTGCCCTATCACCCCTTTCTCCCCCCTCCCTCCCCTCTTCCCCTCTGGTAACCACGAGTCTACTCTCTGTGTGGGTTTGTTTGTTGTTGTTGTTTTTATCTTCTACTTATGAGTGAAATCATATGGTCTTTGACTTTCTCCCTCTGACTTATTTCATTTGGCATAATACCCTAAGGTCCATCCATGTTGTCACAAATGGCTGGATTTCATCGTTTCTTATGGCTGAGTAGTATTCCGTTGTATATCTATCCCACATCTTCTTTACCCATTCGTCCCTTGATGGGCATTTAGGTTGTTTCCAAGTCTTTGTGAATAATGCTGCAGTGAGCACAGGGGTGCATATATCTTCATGCATTTGTGTTTTCGTGTTCTTTGGGTAAATACCCAGCAGTGGAATAGCTGGATCATATGGTAGATCTATTCTTAATTTTTTGAGGACTCTCCATATTATTTCCCATAGCATCAGTTTACATTCCCCCCAGCAGTGTACGAGAGTTCCCGTCTCTCCACATCCTCTCCATCATTTCTTGTTTCTTGTCTCATTAATAATAGCCGTTCCTATGTGCATGAGGTGATATCGCACTGTAGTTTTGATTTGTATTTCCCTAATAATTAGTGATGTTGAACATCTTTTCATGTGCCTGTTGGCCTTCTGTGTATCTTCTTTGGAAAAAATGTTCAGATCTTTTGCCCATTTCTTAATTGGGTTGTTACTTTTTTTGTTAATGAGATGTATGAGTTCTCTGTATATTTTGGATATTAACCTCTTATCTGATATATGGTTTGCAAATATCTTCTCCCAATTGTTAGGTTGTCTTTTTGTTTTGTTGATGGTTTCCTTTGCTGTGCAGAAGCTTTTTAGTTTGATGTAGTCCCACTTGTTCATTTTTTCTTTTGTTTCCCTTGCCCAGTCAGACATGGTACTTGAAAATATGCTGCTAGGACCAATGTCAAAGAGCGTACTGCCTGTGTTTTCTTCTAGAAGTTTCATGGTTTCAGGTCTTATATTCAAGTCTTTAATCCATTTTGAGTTGATTTTTGTGCGTGGTGTAAGATAATGGTCTACCTCATTCTTTTGCATGTCGCTGTCCAGTTTTCCCAGCACCATTTATTGAAGAGACTCTCCTTTCTCCATCGTATGCTCTTGGCTCCCTTGTCGAATATTAGCTGTCCATAAAGGTGTGGGTTTCTTTCTGGGCTCTCGATTCTGTTCCATTGATCTGTGTGTCTGTTTTTGTGCCAGTACCATGCTGTTTTGGTTACTATGGCTTTGTAGTATATTTTGAAATCAGGGAGTGTGATACTTCCAGCTTTGTTCTTTTTTCTTAGAATTCCTTTGGCTACTTGGAGTCTTTTGTTGTTCTATATAAATTTTAGGACTCTTTGTTCTATTTCTGTGAAAAAGGTCCTTGGGACTTTGGTAGGGATTGCGTTGAATCTGTAGATTGCTTTAGGAAGTATGGATTCTAACTATGTTAATTCTTCCAATCCAAGAGCACGGAATGTCTTTCCATTTCTTTGTTCTTCCTCAATTTCTTTGAACAAAGTCTTCAGTATACAGATCTTTCACCTCTTTGGTTAGATTTATTCTTAGGCATTTTATTCTTTTTGTTGCAATTGTAAATGAGATATATTCTCAATTTCTTTTTCTGCTACTTTGTTGTTAGTGTATAGAAATGCAACTGATTTTTGTATGTTGCTTTTGTATGCTTCAACTTTACTGTTTTCATTTATTATTTCTAATAGATTTTTGATGGATTGTTTAGGGTTTTCTATATATAAAATCATATCGTCTGCAAACGGTGACAGTTTTCCTTTCCAAAATACCAGGTTTTCTGAAAACAAAGTATTTGTTATATACTTTATGTATATATATATTTATATATACTACTTATATTTTTTGTTTTACTTATATGTTAATTATATATTACGCTTGTATAGTACTTATATTCTACTATTATTATATATAGTACTTATATTAATAATTGAGTATTATATAAGAACCAGCTCTTGCTTTTAAAAGGTCTTACTTCTTATAGTCTTCACAATATTTTAGGATTGTTGAGGGTTTTTTGTCGTTTTAGTATATTTTGTTTTCTAGTGTGGAAATGTAGAATAGTAATATCATTGTCTTCAAAATGATAGTAGGGTTTTTTGGCCTGTTCTGTGCATTTTCCTTCTTTAAGAATATTTGGCATCATCTAAATTTGATTTTTAAGGTAGACTGACTGCTGTCTCCGCAAGCATGTGCAATCCATTTCAACTGGACGTTACTTACAGTCTTTTGACGTAGGCAGAAGAGAGTAGATGAGGCCTGGTATAAGGATTGACATCTCCCCCAAAAAAGCTATGTCAGAAGTTCTCCTGGGAGTCCTTGGATGATGTGCCGTGTATGCGTGTCTCATGCATGCCGTGGTATGTCCATTCCGTGTGATGCCTGGGAGGTGTGTTTCTGACAATACAGAGTGTTCCTTGGAAGAAAGCAGTTTTCACAGTTGTGATGGCAATGTCCAGTATGCTTCAGACCACGGTTTGGTTCTAATTCAGATAGTAGTGATCTGCAGATGTTCTAAGAATCGTATTCATAATCTTTCTACGATGAAGCATGTTCCTCAGAGATTTTTTGCAAATAGCATGTCTTGCTGTACAGGTTTAGAATGTCCAGGTGGCATGTGAATGAAGGTATAATAATTTTCCTTTGCCATAACAAATAAATATCCTCAATATGTATTTTAGAAATTTATTGTTCAGAAAACCAGATTTGGCCTAACTGAAGCAGGAGATCTGTCTACTGAAGACATGAAGAAAATCCGCCATCTCTCTCTCATTGAATTGACGGCCTTTTTTGATGCCTTTGGAATTCAACTGAAAAGAAACAAATCAGAGAAAGTAAAAGGGCGAGGTAATTAAGAAGAGTGATTTCCTCTGATTTTAACCCTTTGACATATTGGAATAAGATAGTGCTTTTCTGATTCTTTTTTCTATCTCGACTATTTTCCAATGAAGACAATGGGATTTTTGGAGTTCCACTTACAATCCTACTGGACAATGACCGAAAGAAAGACCCTGGAGTGAAAGTTCCCCTTGTATTACAAAAAGTGAGTAGAATGCAAATGAATGGGGAATTAGCAGAGCCTGCAATTTGCTATTTGTAAACCGGCTGAGGAATTTCCTCTTGATTTAAAGATGCTACAGCCCTGTTAGGACTCAGGCCCTTGGCCATTTTCAGTTTTCCTCCTTGCATCCCTGTAATACCGGACAAGCACATGCACCAGTTGCCTTGCTGTGAACTTTTGGGGCCCGGTGCACTGTCTCACCACAAGCATCCCGTGATGGGGCACCGATGCTCTACTGCATGGCTCCCTTCAGTTAGATTTTCTCCAACTTTTTAAAAATGTTACTTATGTGTATGTCTGTGTTTGTATGTGTTTTTGTTTATTCTATCTGGGGTAAAAGATGACTATTAATTCTCAGCAATCCACTTACTGATCATACAAGTATTTGCTGAGATATATAATAGGTTGGGAGTTTTAAAATGTGTATGTGCAATCATTTAAATGAATTTTCCAAAAACAAGCTTAATAAATTCTAAAACTCAGCTTATTCTGGTGGTTTTTTAGGCATAATTAGGAAGATAGGACACATTCAGACAAAGAAGATTTTTTTGTTTGGGAAGTTTTGACAGTGATATAATCTGAATTATCGTATGCTAATATCTCTGTGACCACCACTAGGGAATGGCTCATTTGCTTTTATGTCACATTTTTATTGCCAACAATTTACACTGGTTTACCTAAATACGCATTTATTCAACAGTGACATCCAGTGGCACAATTAAAATTTCAAGCCCTAACTACAAATCTTGCTGAATTTTAAATGTTACGTAAAAATATTGACTGAGGAAACATGTACTTACTTATTCAAAACATGTACTCACTTATTCACAGTAACAATTCTACCTCTCTTTACTGTCTTCCTAAATTTTGCTACCAGTACCTCAGATTGAGCTCCTCAAATCAGGGATTAGTTTGGCTGCCCATGGGAGCAGGGAGGATGGCCCCAGAGACCCAGAGCATGCCGGCGACGGGCCAGTGTGCACAGGAGGCTTCTGTAGGGCATCTCCCCGCTCAGGGCTGCGCCGGCCAGGGCCAGCCATCTCCTCTCACTTGTAGTCAGCCCTGAGCAGCCCAAGGAGGTCAGTGTTATCATCTCCTGTCCATGGATGAGGCCACTGAGGCGTGGCAGGATGAGATCACTTACCCAAGACATGTAGCCGCAAGAGGTAATGCCAAAAGGAGCAGAGTCGCAATCCAGTGACAACGTTTGTGGTGACTCTTAGGTTCTTCCCTTCCTTCAATTAGAACCAGAATTATGCCCTTTGTCCTGTATGGAAAAGACAGAGTTTGAAGAAAATGCATAAAAATCTAAGACTAAGAAGATGCAACACGTGAATTTATATTATTATATAGATGCAAAAACCTAGCACAGAACTCAGCAAATGGAAGGTGCACAGTAAGTGCTGGTTAAACCGCATCTGGATGTATATATGCAAGCAACTCAGTAAGTGCTGTCCATTGTTACTGCCAACGTGAAGCGTTCCTCGTTTAAGACAGCTTGAAGTATTACTCTTCCTCTCCTGTGGGAGAAGCTTTTCTTCCTCCTAAATATCTATTTCTCTTCATACCTACAAGAACTATCTTAGTTCCATCATTTCTTGAAGGGAAAATCATTTCTTGAAGGGAAAATACCAAGAACTCTGGATCCTGCTCTTGCTGTGTGAACTGGGCAAGTCATTTCTCCTTTCCACGCCTTAGTCTCCTTGGCAGTGGAGTGAGGGTACTGAGAGCACCTGCCTCATAGGGTTATTGTGAGGGTTGATTGAGTACATGTATGTGAAGTGCTGAGGCTCAGATCTGAAGCACAATAAGTGCACAATACGTGTTAGTGTTTATTATTATTTTAACACCATTATCACCACCATGAGAGCTCACGAGAGCTAGAAACATTTACAATTTCTAATTCCTTGGTCAGATTTCTAGAATTCCTTTAGTTTCTTAACCAGAGAGGTTGCAACTAATGGTAGTAAATTTAGAATCTTTTCCTACTGGTCGGTCTGCAGAGAGAGACGTAGTAACCCACTCTTAAAACAGTTAAGTGGGGAGTATGGTGTGAGCACAGCTCGGGAGAGTTGGGGCCGTTACTTTTGAGCTTGGTCCTGGGAAAGTGATATAACAGCTCTGAGGCCCCACTTCCTCATTTGCAAACTGGAGGCCAATGCGAACCTCGTCGGGTGGCTGTGAGCCTTTCCCACAGTGTTCCAGTACCAGGCACGTAGACATGCTTGGTAATTTATCAATTGTGGTCATCATCAGTGTTATTTCAGATGTTTGTGATCATAAGGAACTATTTATTTTTGTAATATATCATTGCTTTCTAGTTTTTTGAGAAAGTTGAGGAGTCGGGTCTGGAATCTGAAGGAATTTTTCGACTTTCAGGATGTACTGCCAAAGTCAAGGTACCGAACGCTTCTCTCTTCCTCGTTAGAGTTCTAAGCCAGCTAGACCCAGTCCACGTCAGCCTCGGGTATCGAATCCTTTGTTGTCGTTGTAGGTATTATCACTTGGTCTTGTCAGTATTCCTCAATACCTATGATTAAATGGTGTTCCGTGATCCTGAATCGTGTATCCTTTTAAATTGAAACAACATAAATAAAAACAACAACAAAATAACACATCGATTCACCATCAAAAACTGCTGCTTGGGGCTGGTCCGGTGGGGTAGTGGTTGAGTTTGCAAGCTCTGCTTCAGTGGCCTGGGGTTTGCAGGTTCGGATCCCAGGTGCAGACAGACCTACGCACCACCCGTCCAGCCATGCCATGGCAGTGTCCCATATACCAAAGTGAGGAAGATGGGGACCAATGTAAGCTCCTCACCAAAACAAAAAACCCACAAAACTGCTGCTTGTGGGGGCTGGCTTGGTGGCGTAGTGGTTGGATTTGCACCCTCCGCTTCGGTGGCCTGGGATTCACAGATTCAGATCCTGAGCACAGACCTACACACGACTCACCAGCCATGCTGTGGCAGCATCCCACATACAAAATAGAGGAAGATTGGCACAGATGTTAGCTCAGGGCCAATCTTCCTCACCAAAAGAAACAAACAAACAAAAAACCCTGCTGCTTGTCTTTAGTTTGGAAAAGTTAAAATGTCCCATCATTGTCTTGGGGTTAAACACTTTTGTTTGCTGTGTTCCTCTCAGTCATGGAATTCACTAAGCCAATATTAGCTGAGCCCTTTTTTCCATTATCAGTTGCTTTAAACTTAGAAACATTTTTTGGCCCCACTTTTACTGAAAGGCCTTATGCGGATTTGTAGGAATGGCCGTAACCACTAGAATACTCACTCAGCAGTTCTAAGCAGTTCCATTTAAGGTAACGTTGGTTTCTACGTGTAAAACCACCCGTGCAATGTGATCCTTTTACTTTGCTTTCTTACTTCTATGTGGTGGCAAACTCTACAGCACAGTAAGGAAAGAATCTTTAGAAAGAAAAGCTTTCTCATAAATTTCTCTAAGATACCACTGATGGGTATCCACGATGAAGAGTTCTTCCCTGGCAGACATGAAAACCTGAGCAGTTCTAAATGAGGCATCTTTGAGAAACAAGTCTCAGAGTAAGGGAAAAGTGCACTTGGTTGTATTTAGAATTATTAAAAGGAGATGTGTGGAGGCAGAAAAGCATCTCTTCATTAATTCATTTTGGCACATGTTTTGGGAAATTCTATTTGTATCAGAAGTCTCAGAGTTTTTATATAGCAGTGGGATGGGGTGTTTTTCTAGGTGGAAACAGGATAGATAGGTTGTGTGTATTGGAATCCTCAGAAAGCAGATGCTGGAATGGGGTTAGGAGAAAGGGTCGCTGGGGGATAGGGCTTCTGAAGGATAAAGGAGAGGAAGCAGGACTGGGCAGGCCGAGCCTCAGACCACAGGCAGGACTGCTGGGTAGCCCTGGGGAGCAGCCCTGCCCTGGGCGGGGTGGGCCGGCCCAGGCCTCCACGCGGCACGAGTCATTGCTGGGGCTTCCTGTGAAGAGGTGATGAGGCAGAAGAGAAGGTGCTGACATGCACTCAGCTACCTGGGTTGTCTGCGGATGGACAGCACGCCCTCTTTTGAAGGGAGATCTGAGCAGTGCACCGCCCTGCAGAGGCAGAAGGATTGGGGCACTGAGGGGCTGTGACTTCCCTGGGAGCCGACATCGCTCACGCTGGCATAAGTTCGTTTGGAAGGGAGGAAAACTCTAATGCCTCCTTTAGACTCTTACTTTCTAAAATGAATCTGCTTTTTGTCTCAGGTTCTCGTAGGTATGGTTGCTGTATATACTTCTGAGTAGATGTGGCCTAAATCTGAGGGTGGAAGCTCTCGCTAGTTTTGGTTAAATCTTGGGTTAAATCTGTAGAGTCAGAGAACCAAAATGAAGTCAGAGAAATGAATTTCCTGAGCAGAATTAGACTCCATCCCTCTGAACGTCCTTCCATAGTCGGCAAGCTGTATGTGCATGTATTTTTACTGGCTTCTGTGTGTGTGAAAAGCATAATGAGTATGATGTAAAATTCTCTTTTTCAAAATTATCAAAAGGAGAAAACATCACACGACATATCTTGTTGCATGAAATTTAAAATCATAGCAGAAGTTACTTTTCTTTAGCTAATCTTCGACTGAAAATGCTTATCAAAGGCTAATAACTCCTTCCAAGTGTTCTTCTAGGCACGTGCGCTCCTGCACCACGTATTGGGAAAGGCCCTTTCCTCCCCTATCAGATTTCTATAGTTTCAGCCTATTTATTCCATCTCTTGTTAGTGCAAAAAATGTAATCCAGATGTTTTCATGGTGGGAGCCCCAGCAAGCCAGTGTGAAAGGAATCTGGGCCAGTGAATAGAAACAGGGGATATTGCCGTTAGAAAGATGTTGTAACTTGATATATTAAAGGGGTCTTTATTTTTTCTCCGTTGTTCAAACTTTAAACTTTTTTCGTTTTCTGTAATTTGATCTGTTAGACTATTTTTTCAAGGAATGTGGTTAGGGAAAGAAAGTTAAAAAAAACCCTCCATTATAGTCATCCTCAAACTGTGCCAAGTGGATGACACTGACATTAGTGTCTCGTTGTGCACAGTCCGGCCGGGTCTGTGCTCGGGGCCTGGAAGGACGGCAGGGCAGCAGCCTGAGGGGACGCTGCTGGTTTCGCCAACGGGGCGCACAGCAGCGGAGCCCATTCCTGTGTGCGAGGCCGCAGACCATTTGGAAGCAATTCAGCGCTTTGGTGTTTTCAGTAATTTTCTTTTCCAAAATGACAGAAATTTGAGTCAACACTAGGGAATGTATTTTACGGAGGAAGGCAGACTGTTTGCCGTGCGAGAGTTTCTTTTTTGACTTGTTTCAATTATTCTGAGGCCACGTTAAACATTTTATAATTACGTTACCTGCTCTGCTGGTTTCCCTTCCTGAGCCGGCTTTGGAAGCTGAAGGTGGGTCATTTTTATAAAACTACCTCAGAAATAGAAGCAGGCTGTATATTTGCTCACAGGAGATTTAAGGACATGGCTTCTGACCCTTGCCTAGTGTTCTCATTAATACTGGACAGAAAACGTGACTTCTTTAATCTTTAAATGCTCCCTGTCTTTGGCCAGGTAAAGTCAATGCCTGGTTTATGTGGTTTCACATTTGGGACCATGGAAATGTCAGCTCTGCTCCTACGGTGCACAATCTGCTCTGGTCGAAACCAAGAGAGGACATTCTTTCTCTCAGTCTTGTTTTATACTGGCCATCTAGACAAGATGAAGTGCTATCATTACCCAGATATCCACACCACATACGCATGGGGTTCCCACAGTAATAATACTAAAGGTTCTAAGAGACCAAGAGGAGGGGGGAGTAAAGAGCAGCCGGCATTTACTGAGCGCTTACTGTACGGCAGGTACTGCACCCTAGCGTTAGTTATATTATCCGATTTAATCTCTGTGTGGTCATTTTAATGTCCCTATTACACAGTGAGAAACTAGAGGTACAGACCATTCAACTAGTCAGTTGTGGAATTGGGATAAAAACTCAGAGCCCCTCGTTATGGAGCCTACTCCTGTCACTGGAGCCATGTTGCCTCTTGAGTGACAGGGAACCTCTGACAGTTCAAATGATGGTCACGTTAGTGTTTCAGATAGCTTCTTCTGGCAGAGGGATGTGGGAAATGAGCTGGGATTATTCTGCTCTCGCTGGTGCTTCCTGCCCACTTGAAAAACAACTTTCCTTTGCTTCCCCGCGGTGGTTCCAGGCAGTGGCTGGAAAGCATTTGCTCCTCCTCCTGTCTCCTATCACAACCCCTCCGTCTGCCCGTGACCACAGCCAGCAATCTGAGAAGCATCTTGGACTGTTATTTCTCCCTCTAAGTCTCAAATTCAATCCATCACTGATTCTTGAGAATTTTCCATCATGGGCATTTCTTAAATGCCACCTCTCTTTTGTATCTTACAACTGTTTATCCAGGTTAGTCCTCGATTGTCTGTCACCAGAAATGGTGCCTTGGCCTGATAACTGGTTTCCTTGCCTCCAGCCTGCTCCCCAACCAGCGTCGAGCTCCATACTCCTCCAAATCACTTTTCCATTTGCCTGTCAGAAAAGATAAATCCCACCTTCTTATTCTTTTGCTTAGAAATGTTCCATGTTACCTCATTGCTTTCAGAATGAAGTCCAGTCCCCTTAGGATGTGCTCTGGTCCGCTCCCCCGTCTCTCTCTCTCCCCTCTCCTCCATGTACACGACGCTCCAGCAACACGAGCTAACTGGAGTTCCCAGACCCACTGGGTCTCCTTGCGTTTGTGTCACTGCTTGAGCACTTTCTTCTATCCAGAGTATCCTTCTATTTCCTCTTGCCCTGGCAAGCTCCTCACCAGTTTTCAGCACTTGGCCCCAGCAGAGTTCAGTTCTCCTCTTTCATGACTGCATAACACCCAATCGGTGACCTTTCTTATAGCATTTGACACCCTGAATTAGCATTATGAGTTCATGAAATAGTTGCATCCACTGGACTACAAGATGCCTAAAGGCAAAGAATGGATCTCATGCATCCTTCTCTTCCCAGAGCCGGGCCTATGCTCTCTCTCTTTTATTCTAGGAGGGGCTTTATATATATGCTTCAATGCATTACAAAGTGTACTTATCAGCAAAGGGTTGCTTGATTAGCTGCATTAGTGCTGTTAGATTGAGAGCTTCTCAAGGGCAAGAAGAAAATCCCCTTTCATTATCATCAGTAGGGGCTAGAGGGTGGCTCAGAATCATGTCCGTTTTTCAGTAAGAGATACATCCTGCCAGGGAGCCCACTGTTTGGCAGGCTCTGGGAGCCATGAGAACATTTGTGTCTGGGCTGGTGGATGGGCCACTCCTTGGAAGGAAAAGGTCAGAGGTGCGAATTGACTGTGGCTGTGCATGTTCAAGGCTGGAAGAATTAGGGTTCTCGTGAGAATCAAGTAGAGGCCTGAAGGAAACTGAGGGTTTCACAGTTCTCTTTTTAAGTATCCTTTTTGGAGCAGTTAGTGTCAGTCGGGAGTCAAACTGACTATGACTGCCTGGTGTTAAAGGTAAACTCTGTCAATCAAGGGAGTGGTAGAAAAGGAGTTTGACTTTGAAAAAGAGAGATGGAGAACGGGTGGACTGATAATCAGATGAATTGACAATGTAAAATGTATAACTCAAGTACTACTTATGGAGGCCTAGAGAATTTTTTGAAGTGTTCACACAGTATTCCAAACCTTATGAAGGATTAGGCAAGCGTGCAAACGTGGGAAACGCGTACGTCTTGGCATCCAGCTTTGCTGCACCTGCTCTTGGGGGGTGTCATCGGTCCGCGTGTTGCAGTGAGGTCAGAGTTCTCTTACTGGGATGGTTCTCATTCTGTGTGTGCACGAGCTGAGAGGCATGCATTCGTGGTCTAATTTAGAAATAGCTGACGGGATGGCAGATGGAAAGGATCAGGAAAGAAGGGAAATGGCTTTGTCAGAATCCAGCAGTGCATTCATCACGTGGGGATAGGTTATATTCTGCCAAACCACATTAGTGAAACTATGATCTGAGTAAAGAACTTTTATATTTGAGTTGAATTAGCAAGTTATTTCAAGATTAACATTATTCTAAAAGGATTTTAGAAGACAGTTTTTAAAAATTCAATCAGAATGAGCTATTTTAATTCTTGTGCTGAAAAAAGTTAGTTAGATATTGGCTTTTCAATCTATTTACAAAAATAGTTTATGTAATTCAGTTTTCAAAGGGGAAAAGGGGGGTCTGGTACTAAAAATTCATTGAACATTGACTGTTTTCCTTGATTTTCAGCAATACCGTGAAGAACTGGATGCCAAGTTTAATGCTGATAAATTTAAATGGGACAAAATGTGCCATAGAGAAGCTGCAGTAATGTTGAAAGCGTTTTTCAGAGAACTACCCACCTCTCTCTTCCCTGTGGAATATATACCTGCCTTCATCACTCTAATGGAAAGTAGGTGGAAGAAATGTGAATGGACTAAGATAAAAGGTCAACACAGTGACACAGAGCAGAAGAAAGACTCATAATCCAATGTGATCATAGAGGCATAGATTTGCTATTTCCTGGCAGCGCTCGGTGAAATATTGAGTGCGATGGTAAACAGTCATCTCTCTACCGTATTCATATATCTAAGTCTGGTAGAGATGAGTTAGAGGGTTTTATAATCCTTAAAAGGTAGAGAGGTTTGCAGAAAGACCAGGCTCTTGAGGTTTGAATTTCTGCTCAATCATCTGTTAACCATGCAGTCAACCTTTCTGAGCTTCATTGCTGCACCTGTAAATTACAAATAATAACTACTTCTCAGGGTTGTGCATATTGAATGAAGACATCTAGAATGTGCCTGATGTGTAACAGTCCTTCAAGAAATAAAGTATATCTCTCTTTTTCAAATCTAAGGTCCTGAGTCTGATGGTATAGCACACAATAAATGCTGCAAGAAGGTGTTTTGTCTCTGAAAATTACAATATCAAAGTGTTTCTGAAAATTACAAAGTCATATAGATTAGGCCTTAAGTGAAGTACTTGTATAATATCATAGAGACTGGAATGTGTGTATTGTGTTTGGCAGTAGGGGAATAATTGGGCATGGCTTCAGCCTAACTGTTGAGTATTATGGAGGGTGCGACAAGAAAGAAATTTAGAAAAGTAGAATGAGCTAGATAGTGGGGGCTTTGACTACTAACTTGAGTAGTCAAACCAAAATATGTACAAGCATGTTAAGTAAATGGTGATTCTACATTGGCAGAAAAGGGCTGTGGCCAGATTGAGAGAATACACCCCATAAAAAATGGGTTGACCACTGCTCAGCTTTTGAAAATGTTAGCTACAAATGCAAATTTTAAACACTATGTGAACCTAACAAGTGCAACTGCACCTGCCTGTGTACAGCCAGAACTGTGAAGTCCTCACACCACAGTGAGACAAAAGGAGAATCAGATCCTGAGTTGTATGACAAAATTTGTCCTAAAAATTAGTAGGTTCCAAATCGTTAAAATTTTTAACTAATCCAGATTCATAAAATAATCCTTTGTGTCTTCAGAGAATAGAATGCAAGAAGCGAGGCAGTTCTTTTCTAGGCTTTGTCTGTGACCAATATCTCTTTTCTTTGTAAGATGTAGCATTTTTGTTTTATGAGAGAAACTTTCAGAGAAAGAGAGAGGAGCTAGTTCCCTTCATTTTTTTTTTAATTCAGATACTGTATTTTTTTAGTTCTACAATTTTCTGTTGGTGCTTTTTAAGGATTTTCTATTTATCTGCTGAGATGGCCTATCTTTTCATTCATTATAAGCATATTTGTCTTCACATTATTGAACATAGTTATGATAGCTGCTTCAAAATCTTTGTCTACTGGTTCTCACATCTGAGTCGTCTCAGGGTTTGTCTCTGTTGATTGTCTTATCCCTTGAGAATGGGTCACTCTTATATGTCAAGTAAGTTTCAATTACATTCTGACCATTGTGAACACTGTGTTTTGGAGACTCTGCATTCTGTAATATTTCACCACAGAGTGAGGGTTTTGTGTTGTTTTTGTTCTTGCTTGTTTATCTTTAAGCAGACAGTTTGCATGGCTGAACTCAAATGAACAACGGTCTTTTGCACGGCAGCTCAATTCACTCCCATTTCAGTTATACAGTTCTTACTTGTGCTACTCCACACATGCATGGTTCATGGGTCAGCTAAGATTTCGGTGAATTTTGTGCAGAATCAGGATCTTCCATCTCTTGACCTCTCCTTCCTGGGCTTCTCCCATAACTTCCCAGTGGCTGTTGTTGCTCTGACCTCTGTCGTCTAGTTGTTCAGGCCAGAAAGACTGGGGTTTCCTTGGGAGCTTTAGCCACCTCATGCAGCATTGACCTCAAACTAAAAGCTAGAAAAATGGGACATTCTCCCTGTGCCATTCCCTAATTTGAAACGTCCAGTCCTCTCCTAGGTCTGCCTGCTTTTGTCCATCCTTCACTGCCTCAGGTAGTTGTTTTTTGTACTTTGTCCAGTTTGTTGTCTTCGGGAGTTTGATCGTGGAGGAGCTTACTCAGTTGTGCCAGAAACAGAATTGCCTCCTTTATTTGTAAGTCTGAAAGACACAGGGTTTTCTGTAAAGAAAGGTTTTTGCTGCCCTGGAGAATGGGCTCCCGGGTTACTAGCTTTGCCTTGGCCTCTGGTTTATATACTAAACAATTCATCAGTACGAACCGCCACAGAGGATTGTTTTTGTTTGGTGTTGTGAAATCATGCAAGGAGGAGTCAAACCTCTAATGCCAGACCTGTTCAGAGAATCATATTTAAGAAAAGTGTGCAAAGAAATTAGTTCCCCTTAACATCATTGTTCCCTATCTGACTGCATTCCCTTGAAGGGAGAGGCTCTGGAAGATAGTCTGAAAAGGTTCACAGAGCAGTCCACATTTCTTTGTATGATTTTGAAAGTGGAAACTACTATATTGCAATGATTGATGTGATAGCACCAAGCCTGCAGGAAGCCCAGAGTTCTGGGCTGCTCCCAGCAGGGAAATGGCCTTTTTGCCGCCTAGAGTAAGCGCTAGTTGTAAGGAGATTTTCTGAAAGGAGAACTGTGGACATGTGTGTGTGTGTGTGTGTGTGTGTGTGTGTGTGTTTAAGCTGCCCTTCTTTGTACTCCAAAATGGAATTCGGAGAATGTAGAGTCATTTCCACTCGTGTAATTACTTTCTCTTTCTTCTTTTTAAACGTGGCCCAAAAACTGCCCATAAAATTAAAGGACAGTTCATCAATCATATCTTAAGATACTTTCATGAAAGTTTAGTAGCTCTCTGGAAAAATACAGTCATGTGCCGTATAACAACATTTTGGTCAATGACATTTATGGTGGTCCCATAAAATTAGTACCATGCGGCCTAGGCATGTAGTAGGCTCTACCCTCTAGGTTTGTGTAAGTACACCCTATGATGTTCACACAGTGACAAAATCTACTAACGACACATTTCTCAGAATGTGTCCCCATCGGTAAGCAACGCCTGACTATAATGACCTCAGGAAAATAAACACTCTTAACTAGGATGCAGTAAATGAATTAACTACCAACTATTAACCAGAAAACAAGGGAGAGCCAGGTTTCCTAAGGAAAATGAAAATGGATTATTTGCTAGTTTAGATTTTTTAATCTTAAAGAGAACTTCATAATTCCTCTGAAACTGGTGGAAAGACAGAGCCTGCATCTGCATCTGTGGTCCACCCCCAACAGAGGTTTTTTTTGGGTTGCATTGGAAGATTATAGATAGCCCTTCGCCAGCACTTTATATTTTAAAATAATGCCTTATTTGTCCCTAAATGCTTTGTACCGAGATGTTCTCCTGATAACTCCTGTTATTCGGGCAAATTTATGTCAATGTGCATTAGCTATTTTCAAGAACATCCTGGACCTGTGTCGTTTTTGTTTACAAAGTTGACATAAATTTCTAAAAATCCACATAGGGATTGTACTGAGGCAATATGATACGATTCTATAAATACTCCTTCCAACTGTTTCTTCATTTCTTGGCCATATACATCAGTCAAGTACTGCTAACTCAGGTGCACACAGCCTCGTGTAACCTAGTAGCCTGTCACGAGAGTGTTTCCACTACCGTAAAGCTAAGTAACTTTACAGGCAGCTGCCTGCCTTTTATCCTTTGAATTTAAGTAGATAGAGCTTTGTCAACTGGAGAACTCCCCCAGGATTGGAACATACTGCTTCCGCCCGGAACTCCCCACTGCGAGGCCATTGTGAGGAGAGTACAGACAGAGCGAGGCCTGGATGCCCTGCTATACTCACATTTTCAGCACAGCTAGTTGTGGATTATCCATTTGTGGCTGGAATCCCTAAAATCCTTTCCTTAAACTGGGAAAAGAGCCAGCGTTGAGAACACAAGTATAAACCCACCCAATGGCGCCATCTTCCGTCATTGTCAGGAATAAAATACTCAAGAATCCCCAAAGATCAAACTACAGTCACCTTCCCCAAATGTCCAGCTCAGATCTAGACAGATCTTCCTTCAACATCTGTGCAGGTACTGATGAGAACACTCCACACAGGCTAACTCATTTAATCTGCATAACAGCCCCGGGAGGTGGGTGTGGTGACTACTCCCATTTTACAGGTGATAAAATGGAAGCGATGAGGTGTTACGTAAATAGTCTGCCCATGTCACTCAGTGACTCAGTAGTAGATGCAAGATTTGAGCCTGATTCTGGCATCTGTGCTCCTGATAATTATACTTTGCTCCTCATTATGTGAAAGCAAGATTTCTTTTCTCTTGAATTCAGCATCAGGCCTTCTGTGTATAGCATAAAAGTAAAGCAAGGTCTGTAACAGTACTTTGAAAAGGGAAATGTTGGACAAATCTGGAGTTATTTAGAAGGTCTCGTTGGCTACCTGCCTCTACAATGGCATCGTGGGTTGTAAAAGAGGAGTTGATAGACTGAGACTGCTGTGCAACCAACAAATTTACGTTGTCGGGCACAAAACCTGAGTCTTTACCACGGAAAGCTGTCAGGAGCCCTCCTATGCTGCCAGCTGTTAGCAAGAAACGCTGTCAGAATGCGTCAGTGTTGTTCCAAATGAGTGGTTATTTCTGTTTTCTTGTTAGGAGAGCCTCCCATCAAAGTGCAGTTCCAAGCCGTACACCTCATGGTCATGGCGCTGCCTGATGCCAACAGGGACACAGCCCAGGTACGTTGATCAACCTCATGCTCTGTCATTGGCTCTTACTGATCAGAGGAGATGGCTCGGATGGAAAAATGAGAACCGAGATGACAATTTACTAAGCCAGCTTAGCATGCTGCAAACCTTTTGCCTTTCCGTGTTCCCACTGCTGTTCTCCTGAGGAAGACAGGAAAGAATCTAAATCCTAGAATCTTCTTTGAACACTTTCGCTTCATTCATTCAATCTATTAGGAGATATTGAGTGTCTCTGACATCCCAGGCACCGGGCTGGGGTTAGGAGCAGGAGAAGTACAAATGGAAGACTTGAATTGAATGATGTCAGAAATCAATGAGACCATTATGTCAGTTGTAGAGTTAAAGCTCTGTCGTCGTTGGTCCTCAGCTGCTCACTTGGGTCTGGTGGCTGAGATCCGAGCAGTATCTTTGGCGAGGAAATTTGAAATCACTGATTTAAATGAATTTCTAAAATGTTCGTGCCTTACAATTTATGAAGATAATTCAATTTAAAGAATTCTAGAATCTCAGAATTTTAGAGGTCACCTAATAGGATCTTGTCATTTTGTGGATTAGTAAAATTACACTCAGAAAAGTGACTTCTCCATTAACATAAAATAGAACATTTGATAGAATCATATTCCGTAGTTCTTCATCCCAAATATCTCTCCCTTTATTTCAAATTCATTTCTTTGCCATATGTTGATAAAAATCAGTTTCTCTTGCTATTTTGATATTGACTCTGTGTACATGGGAAATTTGCATAAGTACAACAGGTGTTTGGAATCTTTGAAATGAAATTGAGGTAAGGATGAATTGAAAAGAGCCTGTCATTTTGAGGCCAGTAAACATAATGCTGAAAACAAATATGATTCTTAGTGCTTCCTCTTATCAGACATTCAATTTGGTGAGGACCTTTCCTCCTACATAGAGAAAACGTCTATGTCAATTATAGTGTACCCTCAGCCCAAGGATGGGGATTGCCTATGGCATAAGAATGTCCGTTTTTAATACAATTTGGTAACTTTTCAAAAGCTGGAAACTTATTTGCTTGGTTTTTGGCTTTGTCTGAACAGTGTTCTTTTATAAAAAAAAGACTAAAACAAAAGACTGTCTGGATCAGATATGTGGATCAAAATGTCATCTACCCTTTCGTATAACTTAGCATGCAGCAATTATCAAATTCGATGCATTTCTAATAGAAGATCCTCAAGAAACAACACGGGACTGGTGAAGATGATACACACACACGCTCTCTCGCTCTCTCTCTTCCATTCTAAATTGTGGCTGGAAGGAAGATTGAAGCTAGCATGGTGTACGGATGAAGAGCTCTGGCTCAGGAATCAGGTTTCCTTGGGTCAAAGCCTGGCTCTCCCACTTAATTAACTGATGCTGGGCAAAGTGCTCAGTCCCTTGCCACCTTAATTTCCTCAGTGACATTAATAAAACCATACTAATAATAATTAAGAAACTCAACATTTTAGCCCCTGTGAAATACCTCACAGGGTCTAGAATGATGATAAAATGAATGGATTTATATAAAGTACTAAGGATAATGCCCAGCTTAAAATAAACCCTGGAATAAACGTTACCTATTATTACTATTATGTGCTGCCCATATTCTCATTACAAATACTGTAGCACAATTCAATCTTGGAAAACCGAACAGCATTTCCTTTCCTTTTAGTATTTCAGTCCTCTTGGTGAATTTCAAAACGTTCTGATAAGCATCTATATTTTGGTGGCTCAGCCAAACTTTGATCAAGCTCTCTCAAATGTTTTTTGTTTTTGTTTTTTTAAGGCTGAGAACAGCTGCATGTGAGCGTTTTCCTTTGGTCTGTTGAAGATTCCACAATTGAAAAGCAATAGAAAGATGATATCCCAAAAATAAAATTTTTAAAAATTCTCATTTGAGTTTACCTTTGGGCTAAGGAATGAGATACTCAGGTTTTTTAAAAAGAGTTTTCCTTTCCCAAGGAAATAGTAAATAGTTCTCAATAGTTGTGCTTTAAATTAAGGGTGTTTTTAGAGTTACTTTTCTTCCTTCACAACAACACTGCATTTCATATTTATTGGAGCTGCAGGGTTTTCTCTTCTGAGTTTATTATTTAATTTTAATATTTATCACATTTATTCAGGATAAAGGAAAATAAAGTAATGCAGACTCTTCCTTCTTTTTTTTTTTCCTTATTTTATTTTTTTCCTTTTTCTCCCCAAAGCCCCCCAGTACATACTTGTATATTCTTCATTGTGGGTCCTTCTAGTTGTGGCATGTGGGACGCTGCCTCATCAAAGTTTGATGAGCAGTGCCATGTCCGTTCCCAGGATGCAAACCAACGAAACACTGGGCCGCCTGCAGCAGAGCGCGAGAACTTAACCACTCAGCCACGGGGCCAGCCCCTTTTTTTTTTTTAAGATTTTATTTTTTTTCCTTTTTCTTCCCAAAGCCCCCCGGTACAGAGCTGTATATTCTTAGTTGTGGGTCCTTCTAGTTGTGGCATGTGGGACGCCACCTCAGCATGGGTCGATGAGCAGTGCCATGTCCACACCCAGGATTCAAACCAACGAAACTCTGGCCCGCCTGCAGTGGAGCACGCGAACTTAACCACTCGGCCACGGGGCCAGCCCCGAGAAATGCAGACTCTTATTTATAGAGACTCCAGTATAATGAACTCCATAAAAATGGAGCTACTTCTGTGCAGCAGACAATTGGAGAAGCTGTTCACATTTCTTACTAGCGTTTTTGAGCAATGAAAGGGAAACGTGACACATTTAACCGTTCTATACTTCTGACAGTTTTCCAGAGGTGCCGTCAATGGGTGTAGAAATGAATGACAGCAACCAGTGGTGCCTTTTGATAATTTACAATAGTGTGACACAGTGCTGTTTCTTGTTAGGCCCTTATGACATTCTTCAATAAAGTGATTGCCAACGAATCAAAAAACCGAATGAGTATATGGAACATTTCTACTGTAATGGCGCCAAACCTTTTCTTCAGTAGAAGCAAACATTCTGATTATGAAGAATTACTGTTAGCAAACACTGCAGCCCACATCATCCGCCTGACGCTTAAGTACCAGAACATTTTGTGGAAGGTGAGTAACAATGCGATGCCTGTGATGTTCTCCTCTCCTCAGAAGTCCACAAGCACCCAGGAAATGTCAGGGCTCCTTGAGCAAGCAGTGCCTGCAGTCACAGGGAGGAAATATGACAAGATAATCCCAGGTTGCTTGTGGCATCTTTATCCACTCTTTAGGGCTGCTCCTGAACACATTCTCCCTTTTAAGCAGGAATCCTAGTAGATTTTTCTAATCTTTATTAGGACAGATGCCGTGGTTCCTGGTTACCATTACTGAAGACCGAATCTATTAGGGGGATTGAATTCAAGTGTTTTCCTTCTAGTCAAGCTGTGCTTTCTCTCCAGGTTCCATCTTTCTTGATCACTCAAGTCAGAAGAATGAATGAAGCCACCATGCTGTTCAAGAGGCAGCTCCCAAGTGTCAAAAAGCTGCTCAGGAGGAAGACCATAGAACGAGAGGTAACGGCAGTGAATGGACGTGCAAATGTTGGTACCACCCTGGCTTTTATTTCTCAAAGTGAGGCACAAAATAGCGTGCAATTTAGAACCAAACATTTTGTATTCTCACAAAGTATCAGACAGTCCCGTGACTGTAAACATTCTGGAAATTGTGTCCATGACAGAGTACTGTGACCTTTCCATTTTGTTGAATTATGTGCTTTTTGATTGAAGTCCTTTAAATATCTCTTATTGTAAAGATTGTTTAACATTCTGTTAGGTATTTAAGGCTAAAATGGTTCTCACAAAAGCTGGAATTCGATGTTTTAGTCCCTGTGAACTAGATTTAAGGGCAATCCAGTATATCTAATAAATAGAGAAAGAGATTTCTTTAGCGATTGGATTCTAAAAGAATATCTAATCCTCAAGCTGTTTTGTGTAAATTCGTTGCATTCCAAAGAACTTTTGCCTTAGCAAGGTTGTTTTGGGAGGTGCATAACGGAAACAGCTTTTAGAATTATCTTTATTTTTTAATTTAATCTGAGGATGATCATGATAGATAGATGCAGAAATACATAAAATTCACTTTGCCCTGAAAGGAACTTATACCTAATGTGGGAGAGAAATGTAGACAAGAGCCATGAATATGCGTTAAATGCCAGACCAGTTGTGCAATGTGCCAGGACCATGCAAAAGAGAAAGAACTGTGCTCCAACATGGGAAACTGGATGACTTCACGGAGGAAATGGCATTTGAGCTGCATCTTGAAGGATGGATAGCATTTTGAAGAAAACGGGAATGTTCGACCGGGAAAGGAACAGGAAATGCCAAGGCAGTGAGGCGGAAGTGTTGTGACTGTCACAGTCACGGTGAATGGCTGCACTCCCTTACTGATGACGGGCAAAGGCACTTCAGATCAATAGAACCAGCACTCTAAATCTGGGAAAAGAAATGCTTTTAGTTTGTTTTAATTGAGAAAAAAATCACACAACATAAAATTCACCATTTTTAATTTAGTTATTATTTTTAGTTATTATTTTTTATTCTAACTATTTCAAAATTCACTGGCTTTAGTATATTCACAATGTTGTACAGCCATCACCACTATCTAGTTTCAGAATATTTTCACCATCCCCAAAAGAAACCTCATACCAATTAAGAACTCACACCCTATTTCCCCCTCCCCATAGCCCCTGATAAATGCTAATCTACTTTCTGTCTTTATGAAATTACCTATTCTGGACATTTCATATAAATGGAATTGCACGTGATGTGTGGTCTTTTGTGTCTGACATCTTCCACTTAGCATAATGTTTTCAAGGTTCATCCATGTTGTAGCATGGATCAGCACTGCATTTCTTTTTTTCATTTGTTTTTGCATCTCTTTGTTTTTTTAAGATTGGCACCTGAGCTAACAACTGTTGCCAATCTTTTTTTTTTTTTTTCCCTTTCTGCTTTATCTCCCCAAATCCCCCCGGTACATAGTTGTATATCTTAGTTGCAGGTCCTTGTAGTTGTGGCATGTGGGACGCCACCTCAACGTGGCCTGATGAGCCATGCCATGTCCACGCCCAGGATCTGAACCAGCGAAACCCTGGGCTGCCACAGCCGGAGCGTGTGAACTTAACCACTCGGCCACGGGGCCAGCCCTTCCTCTCTTTTTTTAACAACCTTATTGAGATATAATCCACATATCATACAGCTCATCTATTTAAAGTGTATGATGCAGTGTTTTTTAGTATATTCACAGATATTTGCAACCATTAATGCAATCAAGTTTAGAACATTTTCATCACTTCAAAAAACCCCATACCCTTTGGCTATCATCCTCCTAAACTGCCCCCTCCCACCTCATTTCCTCCCACCGGCCCCAAGCAACAGCTGATCTACTTTCTGTCTCTATGGAGTTCCCTATTCTGGACTTTTAAAGAATGAAATCATGTAATGTGTGGTCTTTTGTGACTGGCTTATTTCACTTACATTATATTTTCATGATTCATCCAGGTTGTAGTATGTATCAGTACTTCCTTCTTTCTTATGGCTGAATAATATTTCATTATATGGATATACCACATGTTGTTTAACCATTCATCCATTGATGGACATTTGGGTTGATTCCTCCTTTGGTTGTTATGAATAATGCTGCCATAAACATCCACATACAAGTTTCTGTGTGGACATATATTTCATTTCTCTTGGATGTATGTTGGATCCTATGGCAACTCTGTGTTGAATCATTGAGGAACTGCCAAGCTGTCTTCCATAGCAGCTGCACCATGTTGTATTTCCACCAGTAATGTACTGTGAGGACTCAGAATTCTCTGTGTCCTCACCAACACTTGCTATTATCAGAATTTTTCATTCTAGCCATCCTAGCGGGTATGAAGTGGTATCTCCTTGTGGTTTTGATTTGCGTTTCTCTGATGACTGATGTTGTCAAGCATCTTCTCATCATCTTATTGGCCATTTGCATACCTTCTTTGGAGAAATGTCTGTTCACCTCTTTTGCCCAATTTTTGGTTGGGTTGTTTTTTATTATTAAGTTGTAAGAATTCTTCATATATCCTAGATACAATTATCAGATATCAGATGTATGATTTGAAAATATTTTTTTCCCATTCTATGTATTGTGTTTTCAGTTTCTTGATTATGTCCTTTGATGCACAAAGGTTTTTAATTAGGATGAAGTATAATTTATCTACTATTTCTTTTGTTGATCCTGTTTTTATTTTCATATCTGAGAATCCTTTGTCAAATCCAAGATCGTAAAGATTTAATCCCACACTTTTTCGCATGTGGTTATCCAGTTGTCCCAGCACCATTTGTTGAAAAGACCTCTTTCCTCAATTAATGGTCCTGGCACTCTTGTCAAAAGTTAATTGACCATAGATGTATGAGTTATTTCTAGACTCTTAATTCTATTCCATTGGTCTATATGTCTGTCCTCATGCCAGTACAACACTGTTTTGATTACTGTAGCTTTGTTGTAAGTTTTGAAATTGAAAATCTGAGTCTTCCAACTTTTTTTTCCCCAAATAACTTTGGTTATTTTGGGTCTTATGCATTTCCATATGAATTTTAGAATCAACTTTTCCATTTCTGCAAAAAGGTAGTTGGAATTTTGATAGAAATTGCATTGAATATGTAGATTGATTTGGGAAATATTGCCTTCCTAATAATACTAAGTTTTCTAGTCCATGCAAGTATATCTTTCCATTTATTTAGGTTTTCTGTAATTTCTTTCAGCAATGTTGTATAGTTTTCAATGGACAAGTCTTGTACTTCCTTGATTACGTTTATTCCTAAGAATCTTATTCTTTTTATTTTTTAAAAGATTGGCACCTGAGCTAACATCTGTTGCCAATCATTGTTTTCTTCTTCTTCTCCCCAAAGCCCCCCAGTACATAGTTGTATATTCTACTTGTAGCTCCTTCTGGTTGTGCTATGTGGGACGCCACCTCAGCCTGGCCTGATGAGCGGTACCACGTCCACACCCAGGATCCAAACCAGTGAAACCTTGGGCTGCTGAAGTGGAGCATGCGAACTTAACCACTTGGCCACAGGGCCGGCCTCTGTTCTTTTTAATACTATCATAAATGGAATTGTTTTCTTAATTTCTTTTTCTCGGATGGTTAGCTGTTGGTGTATGGAAATACAGCTGATTTTTTGTCTATTGATCTTACATCCTGAAATTTTACTGAAATCATTTATTAGCACTAAACGTTTGGTTTTGTGTGTGTAAATTCTTGAGGATTTTCTCTATATAAGGTCATGTTATCTGTGCATAGAGTTAGTTTTCCGTCTTCCTTTCCAGTCTGGATGCCTTTTATTTCTTTTTCTAGCTTAACTGCCCTGGCTAGAACTCCAGTAGAATATCAGATAAGAAGGTAAGCACAGAGATGCTTATCTTATTCCTGATTTTAAGGGGGAAGCTTTCAGTCTTTCACCATTAAGTATGATGTTATATGTGGGTTTTTCATAGATTTCCTTTATCAGATTGAGAAAGCTCCCTTCTGTTCTTAGTTTGTTGGGTGTTTTTACCATGAAAGGGTGTTGAACTTCATCAAATACTTTTTCTCCACCTATTGAGATGACCATAGGGGTTTTTTCCTTCATTCTATCATTATGATGTATTACCTTGATGGGTTTTCATATGTTGAACTAACCCTGCATTCTTAGGATAAATTCTATTTGGCCAAGGTGTATAATCTTTTTAATATGCTGCTGGAGAGGTTGCTAGTATTTTGTTGAAGATTTTTGCATCAACATTCATAAGGGGTATTGGTCTATGGTTTTCATTTCTTGTCATGTCTGTGACTTTGGTATCAGGGCAATACTGGCCTTATAGTATGAGTTAGGAAGTGTTCCCTTCTCTTCACTTTTTGCAACAGTTTGTGAAAGATTAACGTTAATTCTTCTTTAAACATGTGGTAGAATTCACCAATGAAACCATCTGGTCCTGGACTTCTCTTTGCAGCAAATTTTTTTTTGATTACTGACTCAATCTCTTTACTTGTTATAGCTCTATTCACATTTTCTATTTCTTCTTGAGTCAATATTGATAGTTTGTATGTTTCTAAGATTTTGTCTATTCCATTTAGGTTATCTAATTTGTTGGCATATCAATTGGTCATAGTACAGATGGTCCCCAACTTAGAATGGTTTGACTTACAATTTTTCAGCTTTATGATAGTGAGAAAACAATACACATTCAGTAGAAACCATGCTTCGAAATTCGAATTTTGATCTTTTCCTGGGCCAAGAATATGCAACCCGATCCTCTCTCATGATGCTGGGCAGCGGCAGCCAGCCCCAGCTCTCAGTCAGCCGTGTGATCCTGAGGGTAAACAACCGAAGCTCTACAGTGCACTGTGTTGCCAGTGGTTTTTGGATGAGTACCCATACAACCATCCTGTTTTTCACTGTCAGCACAGTATTCAATAAATTACATGAGATATTCAATACTTTATTATAAAATAGGCTTTGCATTAGATGATTTTGCCCAGTTGTAGGCTAAAGTA